TTCCAACTCACCAAAAACCTATCTCCGGCAATGTGACTAACGTTTAAAATTTCTGGTTTCTGTTCAAAATTGTAACAGTCGTCAGAAGTGATACAATTTTCGCACTCAGGAACCGTGTACTTGAGTGAGCAGTAAATTGGTCGTTGGTTAGCTCCAGAGTAATCCACCACGACCTTGTACCTACACCCCGGGTAAACTTCGTCTTCGCTGACGAAACCCGGGCGCAAGATCGTATTATTCTGCAACCAATCGTCTGATTTTGAACCACTTTAAAACCACTTACTTTAAGGGGATGGTTTCGCACGTAGCTTTCACTGAAACAGGCGGTGACATAATCGCTATTGGTTTCTTCAACGATCGAAACATCGACAACTTCGTCACTATTAATTTTGTCCCAGGAGATGTTCAAGTTCCTGTAACTGGAAGATTTATCGAAGACGGCATTGACGTTGAAATTATTTAAAGGGCAGGTGACTTCCAAGAGGCAGATTTTGTCTTGCTGAGGGCAGGCGTTGTGAACTTTGGATAAGTCAGATCCTTCAATGTAGTACAACGGGATGTCAGATTGCTGGTTCAAGAAATATCTGCAGGTGTTGGACACATTTGTATTCTTTTCACCAATAAATGATGATGAGTCGTTGGTTCTACTGAATTCATAACAATTCCAGTAGGTCGATATGTACGATATTGACGTTTCTTTGAGAAATTCGAAATTTAGAATTAATTCGGTTCCATTGACACATGCGTTTGCTGTCGTTGCACATGGTCGCGTGGTGCGATCGCCAGTTTCGTTGCTCTGCAAAATTGACAAAATCAGAGAACAGTACACTCCTGTTCAACTTAGTAGATAACGTGTCCCACCTCTTGGAGCGTCCTTATCAAAACAGTGTGTATCAATACTCAATAATTGTTTGGATTCATATGAACGCTTACTTGAACAGATGTATCTGTCGCAAATACAAAATCTCGTCGGTGTTTGTTCTATGATTTGATTTCGCAAATTTGTCTTAAAAATTTGTAAATTGATAACGCGAACATACAGTATTTGTGTACCGTGATGTTGGTTATCCGGTCACCTAATTAAATTCAATCTGATAGTGATTTTTCGAGCACCGGAAACTCATGATTAAATGATTTCAAGAATCGATCTGTTTGCATTATGATCGTTGGAAGTTTGTTTATTGCAAAATTTTTAACTTCGAGAACGCACAAAGAGACAAAATTACCTCGCTCTGGATGCTCTCCACTCGACTAATCACAATTACAACGAACGCCACTTTAAGCCAGTACATGTTTCTCACACGAATTTCATAAATATTTTCGAGCTTTTTATTCAGTTAAGAAATCGAACTAAAATAGACTTCACGTTTTTACGCGTGTACTACCGTGTGAACCGCGTCTCAATAAATCAAAGTTTATTACTCGGCAGTATCTCGCAGCTTTTATCGTTTTTGTTGATAAGAGCTTCCCTGAGTTACCTGAACCTGAATTATTAAAACGCAAATAAGGGTGAAGCTAATGATGTGTAGACAGATGAGCAGCAGATACTAGGATTTACTGTATTTGTATTGTAATCGTTAGATGTGGTTTCAACGTTATCACATCAGCGTAATTGCGAAGGCAAACAATATTAATAACAACGAACAGCTCTGAAAACAAAATTAACCCGACGAGAAAATTTACGTGCTCGCATTATTTTAGGGAATATGGAACGAGCGTGGGTTAAAATTTATCCATTTGTTTCCTCCAGAAATCCAATGACGCCATCTCATTGAAGACAAAAAAAATTTTGAATCGAGTGTTTGTTACAATTTTTTTTTTTGTTTCACATCTTAAAGAAAGTGAAGTTTATTATAACTCGTTGCATTAAAAACATATTTATGTTACATATTATACATTATATATTTATTTTTTTTAAAAAAACTTACACACATAAGTACGTCAAAATAACTTGATTGTGAAACAATTCTAAGAAACACAAAAGATAACAAAATGAAGATAACAACTGAAAAATGTGTAGACGTAAGTGCTAAGTACAGATACAACTAAAATAATTGTATGGAAAATATGTAATATAATTATCCTAGACATCCAGATTTTTGGAAAAAAAATCAAAATTACAACATCTTGCTATTTAAATTTGCTCTGAAATTTTTGAAACGCTACGATTACTTAAGAACATATTTCACATAGTAATTTCTCGTAGACAAATAAGGATTTTATAATTAAGCTGCTCCCCTCGCATCACGTACAAGTAATTAAAAATATATTTTTGAGTATCGTGTTGTTCAAAGAATAATATCTATGTTTATAAAGAAACAAGGGCAAAATATAAACCCCGCCCACCCACCCTGTCTCAATTGTAATGAATTTTTTATTCTTAGACACCTAAACACGTTTAAAATGGTAAATTTTTGTACGAAAATATGGATTTAGGCATAAAAAAATCATTACAATTGAGATAGGGGGGGGTGGGCGGGGTTTATATTTTACTTTTTTATCTTAATATACATAGTATTTTTTGAACAACACGATACTCAAAAACATGTTTTTAATTTCTCATCAAGAAAGAAGTATTTTGCAGTTAAGCTTCGCTCTCTTGGTTCAAGACGAATAAAAAAATCATCACAATTGCGACAGGGTGGGTGGGCGGGGCTACATTTTACCTTCTTTTCGTAACATGTGTAGACTTATTTTGACAAGAAGAAACTTAAAAGATGTTTAATTTGGAAAATTTGTATAAGGAAATATCGATTTTGCAATTAGCCTCCGCTCCATAATTGCAAAATCCATATTTCCTTGCAAAAATGTTTTAAGTTTCATGTAGTGAATAGAAGTCTACACATATTAAAACATAAAGGCAAAATGTAAGCCCGCCCACCCGCCCTATCTTGATTGTAATGATTTTTTTTATTCGCTGTGAACCAAGGGGGCGAAACTTAACTGCAAAATACTTATTTCTTTACAAGTAATTAAAAACATGTTTTCGAGTATCGCGTTCAAAGAATACTATATATATTATAGAAAAAAGCAAAATATAAACCCCGCCCACCCACCCTATCTCAATTGTAATGATTTTTTTTTTATTCTTAGACACTTAAACACGTTTAATTAAAATGGTAAATTTTTGTATGAAAATAAGGATTTAAGCATTAAAAAAATCATTACAATTGAGGTAGGGTGGGTGGGCGGGGTTTATATTTTGCCTCTTTATTTTAATATACATAGTATTCTTTGAACAACACATACAAGTAATTAAAAATATATTTTTGAGTATCGTGTTGTTCAAAGAATAATATCTATGTATATAAAGAAACAAAGGCAAAATATAAACCCCGCCCACCCACCCTGTCTCAATTGTAATGATTTTTTTATTCTTAGACACTTAAACACGTTTAAAATGGTAAATTTTTGTACGAAAATATGGATTTAGGCATATAAAAATCATTACAATTGAGATAGGGAGGGTGGGCGGGGTATATATTTTACGTTTTTATCTCAATATACATAGCATTCTTTGAACAACACGATACTGAAAAACATGTTTTTAATTTCTCGTCAAGAAACAAGTATTTTGCAGTTAAGCTTCGCCCTTTTGGTTCACGACGAATAAAAAAAATCATCACAATTGCGACAGGGTGGGTGGGCGGGGCTACATTTTGCCTTCATTTCGTAACATGTGTAGACTTATTTTGACAACAAGAAACTTAAAAGATGTTTAAAATGGAAAATTTGTATAAGGAAATATCGATTTTGCAATTATCTTCCGCTCCATAATTGCAAAATCCATATTTCCTTGCAAAAATGTTTTAAGTTTCTTCTTGTGAAAAGATGGCTATGTATATTAAGAAAAAAAAAAGGCAAAATATAAGCCCCACCCACCCGCCCGATCTCAATTCTGGCGATTTTTTTTATTCGTCGTAAGCCGAGGGGTAGAGTTTAATTGTAAAATCCTTATTTTTCTACGAGAAATTACCATGTGAAATATATTCTTGAGTAATCATGTTGCACAAAGAAAACTACTCGTAAACTGAATGACGCGAATTTAAGGATTGGATTTTTCGGACGTTTTAGATTACATTTTTAAATTGAAAGTAAAATGGTACGTTTCACCCCACATTTTTTTTTTTATTTTATCTACTTAAGCTTCTTTTACCTGTTTTTTCATTTATTTTAAGGTATTTTATCATGTTTTAAGCAAACAGAGTAATTTTGACGTTGAAGTTTTTTCTAAAATAAAAAAGTTAAAGTATATTTTGAAAGTTATTTTTTAAAAAATTGTGGACTTCTAAGGATTTTAACCATGATTCCAGCGAATCCAGATAGAAACCGCTGACTGAGATTTTTATAAAAATATAAAAAATACTTCAACGTCAAAACTGGCCCTGTTAAAAATGATAAATTACCTTATAATAAATTAAAAAACAAAGTGTGAGACCAAATCTTTCTTAAATTTTATAAAACCACATACTCCATGTATGTGTAATTTAGAATCCGTGTTGAGTTTTTACCCTAGACATCGAGATTTTTGAAATTGCAAAAACCGAATGCTGTAAAATCGTGCAAATATTTTAACATTTTTTGAAACATGGTTCTGTTGAAATCAGAATAACCTAATTTAAAAAAAAGGAAATAAGCACTCGTGCGTTATTCTGGAACGTTTTCTTACTCGAAGGTAAGTAGTTATTTCCTTAGTTGGTCAAATTTACAGATTAGCTAGAAAATAATAACCCATATCTGATTCGATAACACTGATAGTTTGCACTCGACAAATGTACTATGTGCATTGAAAAATCTGTTACAGATACAAACACGGTTTTGTATAGAGCAGATGTTTGTCCAAAGAGATTAAAAAATCGTTACATTTCAAGGCTAAGCAAGTATTATAATTTGACGAATTTCATGTCTCGTCGACATTTCTTAGTTCCTAGAATACGAAAAAGTAGCTTCACAGAATTTTAATAACACCCATTGGGTTAAAAAACCCGTTTAAATCAGTGAAAACCACCACACGACTTACAGCCATGTATAACTGGTTGCCTATCCAACCGGCACAACCTAACCACAATGGCAATGCGCACTTGTCAAAAAATAAAAACTACGGTTAACGTTTTGGGGAAGTTTTCGTTACGGGACTTCAGTGGCGTTAAAAATTTAAAAATGAGCAAGTGGCAAGAAGAAAAAGACAAATTTCTAGGAATGTCGTTAGAAAACAAACGTGAATTGTATAAATCGTACACACAATTAAAAGACATCCCTACTTGGCAAGAATACGCCAAAAAAGAATCTCTGGCGAAGAAAATAGCAGCAAAACTCGACTTTACAATGGACGATTCGTTGAATGAAACCCTTCGAGAGAAAATCTCACTATTTCAAGGTGATATCACGAAATTAGAGGTAATGATATTGTCACTCAAGAGCAAGAACAAAGTTAATGGGGGGTTGTAGGTGGACGCTATTGTCAATGCTGCTAACTCTAGTCTCATGGGGGGCGGCGGCGTCGATGGGGCTATTCACAGAGCGGCAGGACCGCTACTTTTGGAAGAGTGTAAAAGTCTTCGGGGGTGTGAAACCGGAGACGCTAAAATTAGTGGTGGCTATAAGCTTCCTGCAAAATGTACGTGAGCGGAGATGGGGGTTCAGTTTGTAACGGTTTGTTGTAGATGTGATTCACACAGTTGGACCCAGGGGTGAAAAGCCAGGTCTGCTCCAGAACTGCTATAAAAATAGTTTGAAGATAATGTTAGACAAGAAATTGAAAAGCATTGCGTTTCCTTGTATTTCCACTGGGATTTATGGGTACCCCATAGAACCGGCGGCTCATGTGGCCATTTCAGAAGTACGAAAACACTTGGAGAGTCACGCTGATGAAGTGGAGCGAGTAATTTTTTGCGTGTTTTTACCAGAGGATGAGCGCGTGTACGAAGGGGCTCTTCAGTCGTATTTCCCTGTGAAATAATTTTCGTTTAAATAAATCGTTCGAGTTCGATTGTTTTGATCTCCTTTCCTGCTTTACACAGATTCCATTTTAATAATAAATTTTAATAATGCGGTGAGATGTAGACGAAGATGAACTCCGTCTCGCGTGACGTGTACAACAAAGACACCGCTAGAACTCGTTTGGGGTTTTTTAATTCGGGAAACTCTTTGACACATGCGCCATTGGCAACATTGTCGAGGAGGGGATAAGAGTGAAGTGAGGGAAAGAACAACTATACGTAAGAAAAGCCGTGCAAAGTTAATTTCTTGTGGATTTTCTTGAATAAAAACTGGCCATTAGTTGTAAATACAGTTAAGTGCGGTGTCTGATGGCGTCCGACGAAGAAGTCGAGGACTCTTACGCCGGTAAGTTCGCGTCGTCGCCGGTGCCTAGGTGCGAATCTAAGCCGACTTCAAACTCGTGTCTTTTCCTCGTAACACCTCCAAATTAAAACAAACTCTCCAGAACGCCTCCCCACACCTTCGTGCAGCCCCCTGTGGCCCCAAACGGCGCCAAGTCGCCCCCCGGGCGCCACAAAAATGAATAATTATAACCTGGTAATCAGTTATATTAGGCGCGGGGCGAGGGGGAGGCAGGTTTTCATTATTTTTGTGACAGCGCGCGGGCATATCCTGACCCTTAACAAAATGGAGGCCATCAAACAAAGAGATTGGCAGATTGCAAATTAGAGTTTCCGTTGAAAATGCGTCCGGGCGTTTTGGGGTTAGAAATTTCATATTTTCCCTCCAAAATTTTGTTATGATCACGCTGACCACTGTCCACATGGCTCGCACATGATTTTTGTTTGGGCTTGCAGGGGAGGACGAGGCGCCCGAGGAGGCCGGCGGGGACGCGGTGGACAACGAGCCCGAGTCCGACGAGGCCCCCATCAAGCACGAGGTGAATATGCGCCAGTGGCTTCGGACTGGGCTAATTTTAGTTGCAGGACGAAGACGACGACTACGAGCCCGAGGACGCCCGCAAGAAGAAGAAGGGCAAGAAGCGGAAAGCGAGAGGCGAGGAGAAAAAAGGAAAGAAGAAAAAGAAGAAACGGAAAAATGACAGCGGGGATGTAAATATCCAAATTCAAACTCATAGCGCAGGATTAGTTGATGGTTTTTTTCTAGGAAAGCGACTTCCACCTCGACGATGATAACGGGGCTGGAGACTCCGACTATGCCACCAGCAAAAAGGGGCGCAAGTCCCGCAGTTCCACCAAACACCCATCGACACCATCTACTCCAGCGCAAGAGACCACTTCGACGACGGGGACTGGAATGCCCACCATCGAAGAAGTGTGCTCTACTTTCGGTCTAACCGACGTGGATTTGGAGTACACTGAGACTGATTTTCAGAATCTCACCACTTATAAACTTTTTCAACAACACGTGCGACCTTTGCTTACTAAAGAGAACCCCAAAGTACTCAAATTCGCAAAATCAGGCTAAATTTTAATGAGATTGTTGCAGGTTCCTATGTCCAAATTGATGATGCTGGTGGCAGCTAAATGGCGCGAATTCTCAAACATTAATCCTAATTTACAGACGGATAATAATGAGTCTGCAGCCGCGGCGGTCCCAGAAGCCGACTACCCGAAGCCCGGTCGCCCCAGAGCCGTCAAAGAAAAACCGGAGTCGGAAGCCTTCGACGACGAAGACGATGACGACGACGACGACGATTCCAAAATTAAAAAGAAGCGCAGCGGACGGGGGAAAAAATCGTCGAAAAAAGCCTCCAAGGTGCCTACTTTGAAAATCAAACTCGGCAAGCGGAAGCGCGGCAGTTCGGTGAGTTTTCTATAAATAAATCAGGGTAGTCTGGACGCAGAATTGTTTCTAGGAGGAGGAAGGCGACGGGAGTGGCGCCGGCTCCGACCGCGACTCAGACGCCGAGTTCGAGCAGATGCTCCAGGAAGCCGACGAGCGCAAAGCGAACGCCGCCTCCGCAGCCGCCGTCGGCGAGGAAGCCGGCCCGTCTGAGTCCCCCGACGATCCGCCGCAGCCCCGCCGGAAAGCCAAGACGAAATTCGGCAACAAAGCCAAAAAGAAGAAGAACAAGAAGGCGGGCGGCAAGCCCGAAGAAGAACCCTACGAGCACCAGGACTACTGCGAGGTGTGTCAACAAGGCGGCGAGATCATCCTCTGCGACACCTGTCCGCGCGCCTACCACTTGGTCTGTCTCGACCCCGAGCTCGAGGACACCCCCGAAGGCAAGTGGAGCTGTCCCCACTGCGAGAACGAAGGTCCTGCGGAGCAGGACGACGACGAGCACCAGGAGTTCTGTCGCATCTGCAAAGACGGCGGCGAGTTGCTGTGCTGCGACTCGTGTCCGTCTGCGTATCACACGCATTGCTTGAACCCGCCGCTGGTGGAGATCCCGGACGGGGATTGGAAGTGTCCTCGGTGTAGTTGTCCGCCGCTGAAAGGTAAAGTAGCGAAATTGTTCACCTGGAGGTGGGTGGAAGACGATTCCAATGGCGATAGCAACGGGAAGAAGAAGAAGAAGCACCATAGGGAGTTCTTCGTCAAGTGGGCGGAGTATTCACATTGGCATTGCAGCTGGGTGTCGGAGCTGCAGCTGGAGGTCAATCATCCGCTTCTGTATAGGAATTTCGTGCGCAAGTACGACATGGAGGAGCCGCCGAAGATGGATGAGTGTTTGGATGAGATGGATCAGCGCTCGAAGCGGCTGTTGAGCTTGGGGAGCGACTGCAAAGATCGCGAGCTGGAGGAGAGGTTCTACAGATACGGGATCAAGCCCGAGTGGTTGGTGGTTCACCGGATTATTAACCATAGAAATATGAAAGATGGACGCTGTTTGTACCTGGTGAAGTGGAGGGAGTTGTCGTATGATTTGGCCACGTGGGAGGAAGAAAACGACGAGATTGTGGGTTTGAAGCAGGCTATTGAGTACTACATGGATTTGAGGGCGGCCTGCACCAGCTCCGTTTCCGTCAACAAGGGGAAAAAGGGCAAAGGGAAGAAGTCGAAGGCTCGGGAGTTGATGGACGATGAAGATCGAACGACGGCGTAAGTTATTCGTCACATTTAGTGGTTTATGAATCCGAGTTCAATTTTATTTATTTTCTTGCAAACGTTTTAAGATTATCGTAATAATTTCAAAATATTTTTAAGTAAATGGGTGTTAATTTGTATAAAATAACATAGTCCTACACATGTAGTTTATGACGCCGTGTTGAGTTTTTACCCGAAACGTCCAGATTTTTGGAAAAAAATCAAAATTATGAAACATTTTGCAATTTAATTTTGAATCTGCAAAACCGAATGCGTTGAAATTTTGCAGATGTTTTAAAGTTATGATAACCATGATAAATTCTTAATCAAAGTATATTTGCTTATCCCCTTCAAAAATTGATGACGTCAGCTCAAAATTTTGCCGAATAAATCCTACCTAAAGTGTTCAAAATACGATGAGTCTGTACGTGTGATTTATCATTCCATTCATATTTTTTGGATTTGCTTATACAGGATGACTCAAAAAAAAATCTTCGTTAAATAAAGAAAACTGAAAACTTTGAATTGTAAGCATGGTAAATGTTTAATCAACATGTCTGTTTATTCCCCCCCCCCCCCCCCCCCCAAATGATGACACAGTCTCAAAATTTTGCCGAATAGATTCTACCCAAAATGTGCAAAGTATGATGAGTTTTTACTTGTCATTCATAATTTTTTGAAAAAGCGGGATTTCAGTTTTTTTTTATATTAGAATTTTTCGTTTTTCCTTTTTCTTCGATTTTAAATTGTCGATATCACAATTTTTCGTTTTTTCATTTTCAATTTTTCGTTTCCTCAATTTCTTGATTTTTGTTTTTCAAACTTTCGATTTCTTTATTTTCATTTTCAAGATTTCTTCACAATTTTTCATTTTTATAATTCCTTTATTTTTTCAATTTTTCTTTCGATTTTATAATTTTAAAATTGAAAAATCCAAAAATTTAATAATGAAAAATTGAAAACTCGTGAAATTTATTTCTTCAGAGCCAATAAGAATGAATGATGAAAACGGAATAAGGGTGGGTGGGAGGGGAGCTTTTTTAATAAGGGTGAGTGGGAGGATGACTATTCTTAATATTTTTCAGTCTTATCTTGACGAGTACTAGCCCCGCCCACCCACCCTCTATTTTCTTACAGGGTATGTGATCTGCCAAAATTAGTTTTATCTTAGCATATACTAGGCCCGCCCACCCGCCCTCTATCTTCTTAGACAATATGCGATTTGCTAAAATCAGCCTTATCTTAGCAAGTAATAACAAAAAAAAAAATGAAAAATTGCTATTCGAAAAATTGAAAAATCCAAAAAGTGAGAAATTAAAAATTGAAAAGTCGAGAAATTGCAAATAGAAAAATTGCAAAGTCTGAAAACTGAAACACCCAAAAATTGGAACATCGAAAAACTAAAAAAATTAGAAATAAAAACTCGAGTCGCATATCTTAAAAATGAAAAAACAAGAAAAAAATAAAAATTGCAAATCGAAAAATTGAAGAAACGAGAAACTGAAAAAACAAAAAAATTAAATCGAAACACTAAAAAACCCAATAAGTGAAAAAATAACGAAAATACAAAACCGAAAACTTGAAAAAATCGAAAGTCGGAAAATTGAAAATTTTAAACGTGAAAACTCGAAATATTGAAGAAAAAAAAACTGAAAAATTGAAGAATTGAAAAATTCAAGCAAAAAATCGAGGCCACGGAAGTTCTGTCGAAATAATCTTCGACCAATATTTTAGATTTGCTTATACAGGGTGACTCAAAAAAATTAATGAATCAGTCAATTTATTTTATTGAATAAATCAAGAATTGCAAAACTGAATACTTTGAAATCTTGCAGACGTTTCAAAGTTATTGTGAACATGGTAAATATGTGTTTCTTTCCATTAAAAAAAAAAAAAAAAATGATGGCGTCATCTCAAAATTTTGCCAAATAAATTCTACCCAAAATGTGATGAGTTTCTACTTGTGATTTATCACTGCATTAATTTTTTTAGACTTGCTCAAACAGGTGGCTCAAATAAATGAAACGTATTTACCTTCCATGAATTTTTTGATATTAGAATTTTTTGTTTTCAAGTTCTTGATTCTTATTTTTTCATATTCTCGATTTTTTGATTTTCATTTCTCGATTTCATAACACTATTTTTCCTTTTTACAATTCCTTAATTTTTTCAATATTTCTTTCGATTTTATAATTTTAAAATTGAAAAATGAAAAATTGAAAACTCGCAAAAAATTTTCTCCAGAACCAATAAAAATCAATGATGTAAATGGAATAAAGGTAGGTGGGAGGGGCCTTTTTTTACTTTGTTTTAAATCTTAGACTCTACCACTTGTTAAATTAGACGCAAGTGACAAGAAATAGGCGGAGCTGAGTTTAGGTTTTTCTAAAAAGAGTTTCATAAGCAAGCGGTAACTCCACCCACCGACCCCCTATTTTATATTATTTATATTATTCGATCTTATCTTGGCAAGTACTAGCCCCGCCCACCCACCCTCTATTTTCTTGGAAGGTATGTGATTTGCCAAAATTAGTTTTATCTTGGCATCTACTAGGCCCGCCCACCCGCCCTCTCTCTTCTTAGAGGCTATGTGATTTGCTAAAATCAGCCTTATCTTAGCTTAACAACAAAAAAATTAAAAATTAAAAACTGAAAAATTCCAAATCGAAAAATTGAAGAAACGAAAAATCGAAAATCCAGAAATTAAAAATTGAAAACTTAAGAAACTGCAAATAGAAAAACTGAAAATTTTAAAAATGAAAACTCGAAGGGTCGCCTATCTTAAAAAAGAAAGAAACAAAAAAAAAATGACAAATTGAAAACTTGCAAATCGAAAAATTGAAGAAACGGAAAACTGAAAAATCGAGCAAGTGAAAAAATAACGAAAATAAAATCCGACAAATTGCAAAAATCAAAGTTAAAAATTAAAAATATTAAACTTGAAAACTCGAAAAATGGCAAATCGAAAATCCAGAAATTAAAAATTAAAAACTTAAGAAATTGCAAATAGAAAAATTGCAAAATCTGAAAACTGAAACATCGAAAAATTGGAAAATCGAAAAACTGAAAATTTTAAAAATGAAAGCTCGAAGGGTCGCTTATCTTACAATTGAAAAAATAAATAAAGTAAAAAACCGAAAAATTGACAAATATAAAAATTGAAAAAATCAAAAGTTGGAAAATTGAAAATTCGTAAAATTCTTTTTTCAGAACCAATAAAAATGATGAAAACGGAATAAGGGTGGGTGGGAGGGGCCCCTTTTTACTTTGTTTTTAAATCTTGGATTCTTTGGCTTGTTAAATTAGATTTCAATTGACATTTTACAGTAAATAAAATAAGTTAGTGAAATGGAGACAAGAAGTGGGCGGAGGTATGTGATTTGCCAAAATTAGTTTTATCTTAACATGTACTAGGCCCGCCCACCCGCCCTCTCTCTTAGAGGGTATGTGATTTGCTAAAATTAGTCTTATCTTAGCAAGGACGACTAACAAACAAAAAAAATAAAAATTGAAAAATTCCAAATCGAAAAATCGAATATCCAAAAAGTGAGAAATTAAAAATTGAAAACTCAAGAAATTGCAAATAGAAAAATTTGCAAAATCTGAAAACTGAAACATCCAAAAATTGGAAAATCAAAAATTAAAAAATGAAAACTCGAAGGGTTGCCTCTCTTAAAAATGAAGAAACAAAAAAAAAATGAAAAATTGAAAATTTGCAAATCAAAAAATTGAAGAAACGGGAAACTGAAAAATCGAGTAAGTGAAACAATAACGAAAAAAAAACGAAAAATTGCAAAAATCCAAAAAGTGAGAAATTAAAAATTGAAAACTCGAGAAATTGCAAAATCCGAAAACTGGAACATCCAAAAATTGGAACATAGAAAAACCGAAAAATTAAAAAATGAAAACTGGAAAAATTGAACAAACGAAAAACTGAAGAAAATAAAATTGAAAAAATAACTAAAATAAAAATCGAAAAATTGCCAAATATAAAAAAAAATCAAAAGTTGGAAAATTGAAAACTCGTCAAATTCTTTCTTCAGAGCCAATAAAAATGTATAATGAAAACGGAATAAGGGTGGGTGGGAGGGGCCTGATTTTACTTTGTTTTAAATCTTAGATTCTATCGTTTGTTAAAATAAGATTTCATTTCACATTTTTAAATAAAATAAGTCAGTGAAATGGAGACAAGAAGTGGGCGGGGCTGAGTTTAGGCTTTCTAAAAAGAGTTTTATAAGCAAGCAGTAACTCCACCCACCGACCCCCTCTTCATTCCAGTGACTGCTCTTAATATTATTCGATTTTATCTTGGCAAGTACTTGCCCCGCCCACCCACCCTCTGCTTTCTTGGAAGGTATGTGATTTGCCAAAATTAGTTTTATCTTCGCATGTACTAGGCCCGCCCACCCGCCCTTTATCTTCTTGGAGGGCATGTGATTGCCAAAATCAGTCTTATCTTAGCAAGGACTAACAAACAAAATAATAAAAATTGAAAAATTCCAAATCAAAAAATCGAAAATCCAAAAAGTGAGAAATTAAAAATTGAAAACTCAAGAAATTGCAAATAGAAAAATTTGTAAAATCTGAAAACTGAAACATCCAAAAATTGGAAAATCGAAAAACTGAAAATTTTAAAAATGAAAACTCAAAGGGTCGCCTATCTTAAAAATGAAGAAACAAAAAAAATTTAAAATTGAAAATTTGCAAATCGAAAAATTAAAGAAACGGGAAACTGAAAAATCGAGTAAGTGAAACAATAACGAAAAAAAAAACCGAAAAATTGCAAAAATCCAAAAAGTGAGAAATTAAAAATTGAAAACTCGAGAAATTGCAAATAGAAAAATTGCAAAATCTGAAAACTGGAACATCAAAAAATTGGAACATAGAAAAACCGAAAAATTTTAAAATGAAGACTCGAAAAATTGAACAAACGGGAATCTAAAGAAAATAAAATTGAAAAAATAACTAAAATAAAAATCGAAAAATTGCCAAATACATATAAAAAAATCAAAAGTTGGAAAATTGAAAACTTGTGAAAGTCTTTCTTCAGAGCCAATAAAAATGTATGATGAAAACGGAATAAGGGCGGGTGGGAGGGGCCTGATTTTACTTTGTTTTAAATCTTAGATTCTACCGCTTGTTAAAATAAGATTTCATTTCACATTTTACAGTAAATAAAGTAAGTCAGTGAAATGGAGACAAGAAGTGGGCGGGGCTGCGTTTAGGTTTTTCTAAAGAGTTTTATAAGCAAGCAGTAGCCCCGCCCACATCCTCTTCATTCCAGTGACTAACCTGAATATTATTCGATCTTATCTTGACAAGTGCTAGCCCCGCCCACCCACCCTTTATTTTCTCGGAAGGTATGTGGTTTGCCAAAATTAGTTTCATCTTAGCATGTACTAGGCCCGCCCACCCGCCCCTTCTTAGAGGCTATGTGATTTGCTAAAATCAGTCTTAGCAAGGACTAACAAAAAAAAATAAAAATTGAAAAATTCCAAATCGAAAAATTGAAGAAACGAAAAATCAAAAATGCAAAAAGTGAAAAATTAAAATTGAAAACTCAAGAAATTGCAAATTGATAAATTGCAAAATCTGAAAACTGAAACATCCAAAAATTGGAAAAATGAAAAACTCAAAAATTTAAAAATGAAAACTCGAAGAAAATGAAATTGAACAAACGGAAAACTGAAAAATCGAGTATGTGGAAAAATTACGAAAATAAAAAACGAAAAATTGCAAAATATGTATAATTATTGAAAAAATCCAAAGGTTGAAAATTGAAAATTTTAAACTTGAAAACTGGAAAAATGGCAAATCGAAAAACTGAAGAAACGAAAACTCGAGAAATTGCAAATAGAAAAATTACAAAATTCGAAAACTGAAACATCAAAAATTGGACATCTAAAAACTGAAAAATTGAAAAATGAGAACTCGACGAGTCGCATTTCTTAAAAATGAAAAAAAAACAAAAAAAAAATGAAAAATTGCAAATCGAAAGATTGAACAAACGAGAAACTGAGTAAAATAAAATTGAAAAAATAAGTAAAGTAAAAAACCGAAAAATTGACAAATATAAAAATTGAAAAAATCAAAAGTTGGAAAATTGAAAATTCGTGAAATTCTTTCTTCAGAGCCAATAAAAATGATGATGAAAACGGAATAAGGGTGGGTGGGAGGGGCCCCTTTTTACTTTGTTTTAAATCTTAGATTCTTTGGCTTGTTAAATTAGATTTCAATTGACATTTTACAGTAAATAAAATAAGTCAGTGAAATGGAGACAAGAAGTGGGCGGAGCTGAGTTTGGGTTTTTCTAAAGATCTTTATAAGCAAGCAGTAGCCCCGTCCACATCCTCTTCATTCTAGTGACTAACCTGAATATTATTCGATCTTATCTTGGCAAGTACTAGCCCCGCCCACCCACCCTCTATTTTTTCGGAAGGTATGTGATTTGCCAAAATTAGTTTTATCTTAGCATGTACTAGGCCCGCCCACCCGCCCTCTCTCTTCTTAGAGACAATGTGATTTGCTAAAATCAGTCTTAGCAAGGACTAACAAAAAAAATTAAAAATTGAAAAATTCCAAATCGAAAAATTGAAGAAACGAAAAATCAAAAATCCAAAAAGTGAGAAATTAAAATTGAAAACTCAAGAAATTGCAAATTGATAAATTGCAAAATCTGAAAACTGAAACAACCAAAAATTGGAAAATTGAAGAAACGGAAAACTGAAAAATCGAGTATGTGAAAAAATTACGAAAATAAAAAACAAAAAATTGCAAAATACGTATAAATATTGAAAAAATCCAAATTTGAAAATTGAAAATTTTAAACTTGAAAAGTGGAAAAATGGCAAATCGAAAAACTGAAGAAACGAAAACTCGAGAAATTGCAAATAGAAAAACTGCAAAATTCGAAAAGTGAAACATCAAAAATTGGAACATCTAAAAACCGAAAAATTGAAAAATGAGAACTCGACGAGTCGCATGTCTTAAAAATGAAAAAAACAAAAAAAAATGAAAAATTGCAAATCCAAAAATTGAACAAACGAGAAACTGAGTAAAATAAAATTGAAAAAATAAGTAAAGTAAAAAACCGAAAAATTGACAAATATAAAAATTGAAAAAATCAAAAGTTGGAAAATTGAAAATTCGTGAAATTCTTTCTTCAGAGCCAATAAAAATGATGATGAAAACGGAATAAGGGTGGGTGGGAGGGGCCCCTTTTTACTTTGTTTTAAATCTTAGATTCTTTGGCTTGTTAAATTAGATTTCAATTGACATTTTACAGTAAATAAAATAAGTCAGTGAAATGGAGACAAGAAGTGGGCGGAGCTGAGTTTGGGTTTTTCTAAAGATCTTTATAAGCAAGCAGTAGCCCCGCCCACATCCTCTTCATTCTAGTGACTAACCTGAATATTATTCGATCTTATCTTGGCAAGTACTAGCCCCGCCCACCCACCCTCTATTTTTTCGGAAGGTATGTGATTTGCCAAAATTAGTTTTATCTTAGCATGTACTAGGCCCGCCCACCCGCCCTCTCTCTTCTTAGAGACAATGTGATTTGCTAAAATCAGTCTTAGCAAGGACTAACAAAAAAAATTAAAAATTGAAAAATTCCAAATCGAAAAATTGAAGAAACGAAAAATCAAAAATCCAAAAAGTGAGAAATTAAAATTGAAAACTCAAGAAATTGCAAATTGATAAATTGCAAAATCTGAAAACTGAAACAACCAAAAATTGGAAAATTGAAGAAACGGAAAACTGAAAAATCGAGTATGTGAAAAAATTACGAAAATAAAAAACAAAAAATTGCAAAATACGTATAAATATTGAAAAAATCCAAATTTGAAAATTGAAAATTTTAAACTTGAAAAGTGGAAAAATGGCAAATCGAAAAACTGAAGAAACGAAAACTCGAGAAATTGCAAATAGAAAAACTGCAAAATTCGAAAAGTGAAACATCAAAAATTGGAACATCTAAAAACCGAAAAATTGAAAAATGAGAACTCGACGAGTCGCATGTCTTAAAAATGAAAAAAACAAAAAAAAATGAAAAATTGCAAATCCAAAAATTGAACAAACGAGAAACTGAGTAAAATAAAATTGAAAAAATAAGTAAAGTAAAAAACCGAAAAATTGACAAATATAAAAATTGAAAAAATCAAAAGTTGGAAAATTGAAAATTCGTGAAATTCTTTCTTCAGAGCCAATAAAAATGATGATGAAAACGGAATAAGGGTGGGTGGGAGGGGCCCCTTTTTACTTTGTTTTAAATCTTAGATTCTTTGGCTTGTTAAATTAGATTTCAATTGACATTTTACAGTAAATAAAATAAGTCAGTGAAATGGAGACAAGAAGTGGGCGGAGCTGAGTTTGGGTTTTTCTAAAGATCTTTATAAGCAAGCAGTAGCCCCGCCCACATCCTCTTCATTCTAGTGACTAACCTGAATATTATTCGATCTTATCTCGGCAAGTACTAGCCCCGCCCACCCACCCTCTATTTTCTCGGAAGGTATGTGATTTGCCAAAATTAGTTTTATCTTAGCATGTACTAGGCCCGTCCACCCGCCGTCTCTCTTCTTAGAGACAATGTGATTTGCTAAAATCACTCTTAGCAAGGACTAACAAAAAAAATTAAAAATTGAAAAATTCCAAATCGAAAAATTGAAGAAACGAAAAATCAAAAATCCAAAAAGTGAGAAATTAAAATTGAAAACTCAAGAAATTGCAAATTGATAAATTGCAAAATCTGAAAACTGAAACAACCAAAAATTGGAAAATTGAAGAAACGGAAAACTGAAAAATCGAGTATGTGAAAAAATAAGTCAGTATAAACCCTCTATTTTCTTGGAAGGTATGTGATTTGCCAAAATTAGTTTTATCTTGGCACGTACTAGGCCCGCCCACCCGCCCTCTACCTTCTTAGAGGGTATGTGATTTGTTAAAATCAGCCTTATCTTAGCAAGTACTAACAAAAAAAAAATGAAATATCCAAAAAGTGAGAAATTGAAAACTCGAGAAATTGCAATTAGAAAAATTATTGCGAAATCTGAAAACTGAAATATCCAAAAATTGGAAAATTGAAAATTTTATACTTGAAAACCAGAAGAAAAAAATAAAAAATTGAAGAACTGAAAAATTCAAACAAAAATTGGGACAAGGGAAGTTCTGTCGAAATAATCTTCGACCAATTTTTTAGATTTGTTTATACAGGGTGACTGAAAAAAATTAATGAATCAGACAATATATTTTATTGAAGAAGTTCTGTTACGACCATTTTTTTTTCAGGCGTCGTTATACCCCACCCCCAGACAAGCCCACCACCGACCTGAAGAAAAAACTGGACAAACAGCCGAATTATCTCGACGAATGCGGCATGCAACTCCACAACTACCAGCTCGAAGGTCTCAACTGGCTGCGGTACTCTTGGGGTCAAGGTATCGACACCATCCTGGCTGACGAGATGGGTCTCGGGAAAACCATCCAGACCATAACTTTCCTGTACTCGTTGTACAAAGAGGGTCACTGCAAGGGCCCTTTCCTCGTGAGCGTCCCCTTATCCACCATCATCAACTGGGAACGAGAATTCGAAACCTGGGCGCCCGATTTCTACGTCATCACTTACGTCGGTAAATATAATCCGGCGAAAGCAGTGACCGGTGTCTTCACCACGTTTATTTCCAGGCGACAAAGATTCCCGAGCCGTAATTCGCGAGAACGAGTTCAGCTTCGAAGAAAACATTAGTAAGACCGGGCGCGTCTGCCGCGTCAAAGCCAACTCGATTAAATTCAACGTGCTCCTGACCAGCTACGAGTTGATTTCGATCGACGCCGCTTGTCTCGGCTCCATCGAGTGGGCGGTGCTCGTCGTGGACGAGGCCCACAGACTGAAAAGCAACCAGTCGAAGTTTTTCCGGCTCTTGAACAGCTACAACATCCAGTATAAGCTTCTTCTGACTGGAACACCGCTGCAGAACAACCTCGAGGAGTTGTTCCATCTTTTGAACTTCCTTAATAGTCAGAAATTCAACGACTTAGCGACTTTCCAGAACGAATTCGCTGATATCTCCAAAGAGGAGCAGGTGAAGAAGTTGCACGAGTTGTTGGGTCCGCACATGTTGCGACGTTTGAAAGCCGACGTCTTGAAGAACATGCCTTCGAAATCCGAATTCATCGTGCGAGTGGAGTTGTCGCCGATGCAGAAAAAATACTATAAGTATATTCTGACGAGGAATTATGAGGCGTTGAACCCGAAAGGTGGCGGCCAGTCGGTGTCTTTGTTGAACATCATGATGGATCTGAAGAAGTGTTGCAACCACCCGTATTTGTTTCCGGTGGCTGCGGAAGAAGCGCCGCTTGCACCCAACGGCGGCTATGACATGTCGAGTTTGATTAAAGCCTCCGGGAAGTTGGTGTTGTTGTCGAAGATGTTGAGGATTTTGCGGGAGCAAGGTCACCGCGTTTTGATTTTCTCGCAGATGACGAAAATGTTGGATATTCTTGAGGACTTCCTCGAGGGGGAAGGGTACAAGTATGAACGGATTGATGGTGCGATTACGGGAACGTTGCGCCAGGAGGCGATTGATCGTTTCAACGCACCTGGTGCCCAGCAGTTCGTTTTCTTGTTGTCTACAAGAGCTGGTGGTTTGGGTATTAACTTGGCAACCGCTGACACCGTCATCATCTACGACTCGGATTGGAATCCGCATAACGATATTCAAGCTTTTTCGAGAGCGCACAGGATCGGTCAGGCTAATAAAGTCATGATTTATCGCTTCGTGACTAGGAATAGCGTGGAGGAGAGGGTCACCCAGGTGGCGAAACGGAAGATGATGTTGACTCACTTGGTCGTGCGACCTGGAATGGGTGGCAAAGGTGCTAATTTTACCAAGCAGGAGCTTGATGATATTCTTCGTTTCGGTACGGAGGAGTTGTTCAAGGAAGACGAAGGTAAGGAGGACGAAGCCATCCACTATGACGATAGAGCCGTGAACGAACTCCTGGACCGCACTAAAGAAGGAATCGAGCAGAAGGAGAACTGGGCGAATGAGTATTTGAGTTCGTTTAAAGTGGCCAGCTACGTCACGAAGGAAGGTGATAACGAGGAGGAAGTGGATACCGAGATCATCAAACAAGAGGCGGAGAATACCGATCCGGCGTACTGGATTAAATTGTTGCGTCACCACTACGAGCAACAACAAGAAGACATCGCCAGGACTTTGGGTAAAGGGAAAAGAGTGCGCAAGCAGGTGAATTACAACGACGGTGGTATGACCACGGACACACGTGAGGATAGCACGTGGCAAGAGAATCTGTCTGATTATAATTCGGACTTCTCAGCTGGCTCCGACGAGGATAAAGAGGACGATGACTTCGACGAGAAGAACGAGACGGATTTGAACCGTCGCAGTAGAAGGAGGATGGAGAGGAAAGACGAACGAGATAGGCCTCTGCCACCGCTTCTGGCTCGAGTCGGAGGCAACATAGAAGTCCTGGGTTTCAACGCCAGACAAAGGAAGGCCTTCTTGAACGCGATCATGAGGTACGGGATGCCTCCTCAAGACGCTTTTAACTCCCAGTGGTTAGTCCGCGACTTAAGAGGCAAATCTGAGAAGAACTTCAAAGCGTACGTGTCGCTCTTCATGCGACATTTATGTGAACCTGGAGCTGACAACGCGGAAACCTTCGCCGACGGCGTACCCAGAGAAGGTTTAAGCAGGCAGCACGTCCTCACCAGAATCGGAGTAATGTCTCTAATTCGAAAGAAAGTCCAAGAGTTTGAACACATCAATGGGGAATATAGCATGCCAGAGGTGATCAAGAAGACCATCATGGACCAGAATAAATCAGGACCTGGAGCCGAAGCCGAAACTCCGAAGAGTGCCACCACGAGCACTAGTGCCACCCCGGCGACAAGCGCCGCCGCCAGTCCCGCCCCCATTAAAGAAGAGTCGGAGAAAGTCAAAGACGAGAACGACGATAAAGACAAAGAAGTCAAAACAGAACCCGACGATAAAGAAAAGGAGAAGACCCCTGAAGATTCCACTAAAGAGAAAGAAGGCGATTCGGTGAAATCCGCAACCGAGACGAGCGAAACCGAGCCCACTTCTGACACCAAAAGCGAGGAAACTAAATCAGAAACGTCCGAAAAGAAAGACGATCCTAGCGACAAAGAAGAACCGACTGTCAAAGAACCGGCGCCTAAAGAAGAAGAGGACGAAGTCAAAGACGTGAAAACCGAAGACGCCGACAAGAAAGAGGACAAACCCAAGTCGGAGAAGAAAGACGAAGACGTGGAGCTAGTCGACGAGAAGGAGAAAGACAAACCCAAAGAGAAAAAGGAGGTTTTGGATCCCGAAGAGACCAAGAAGCGCTTCATGTTCAACATCGCCGATGGCGGTTTCACCGAGTTGCACACGCTCTGGTTGAACGAGGAGAAGGCGGCGACTCCTGGACGCGAGTACGAAATCTGGCACCGTCGCCACGACTACTGGCTGCTGTCGGGGATCGTGACCCACGGCTACGGTCGCTGGCAGGACATCCAAGCCGACGCGCGCTTCGCCATCATCAACGAGCCGTTCAAGATGGACGTGGGGAAGGGGAATTTCTTGGAGATCAAGAATAAGTTCCTGGCGCGTCGGTTTAAGTTGTTGGAGCAGGCGTTGGTGATCGAGGAGCAGTTGAGGAGGGCTGCGTACTTGAATCTGACGCAGGACCCCAACCATCCGGCGATGTCGCTCAACGCGAGGTTCGCCGAAGTGGAGTGTTTGGCGGAGTCGCACCAGCACCTCAGCAAGGAGTCGCTGGCGGGTAACAAGCCCGCGAACGCGGTGCTCCACAAGGTGCTCAACCAGCTGGAGGAGTTGTTGAGCGACATGAAGTCGGACGTGTCGAGGCTTCCAGCCACACTGGCGAGGATCCCGCCGGTGGCGCAGAGGCTGCAGATGTCGGAGAGGAGCATCTTGTCGAGGTTGGCGGCGACGTCGTCGAGTAATAGCCAGACGACGGGTAAGTGGCGCGAGCAATTGTTATATATACAGGGTGTCCCCTGTAACTTTTTTATTCTGAAAGGTAAACCTGTGGTTATTTGAGCAAATTTGTATCATCATGACAACCTCACATTTTTATTATCACTTACGGTAGAAACGGAAATGACGTCAACTTTATTTTTTTTAATGGAACACTAGGTGTATTTTTTCATATTTTTTTTTTCCATCTAAGCTTTTTTTACCAGTTTTTTCATTTATTTCAAGGTACTTTATCATGTTTTAAATAAGCAGGCCAATTCTGACGTTGCAGTTTTTCATTCATCAGAATTGAGATGGGGCGGGTGGGCGGGGCTTATATTTTGTCTTTTTGTATTTCTTAATATACATAGCCATCTTTTCGCAACAAGAAACTTAAAACATGTTTAAAATGGTAAATTTGTGTACCATTTCAACCATGTTTTAAGTTTCTTGTTGTGAAAAGAAGTCTGCACATATTAAAACAAAAAGGCAAAATATAAGCCCGCCCACCCGCCCTATCTCAAATGGGATGATTTTTTAACTGCAAAATACTTATTTCTTTACAAGAAATTAAAAACATGTGTTTGGGTATCCTGTTGTTCAAAGAATACTATGTATACTAAGAAATAAAATCAGAATATAACAAAAGTTTTCGATATCTCGATTTTTCAACATTTCAATTTTGGGAATCTTTAAACTGCCGATTTTTCAAATTTTCGATTTTTTAAATTCTAGATTTTTGGATTTTTCAATTATCGATATATATTTTAGATTTTAACCTTTTCGATTTCTCCATTTTTCAGTTTCTTGTTGTTTCTATTTCTCGATTTTTGGACTTGGCGGTTTTAGAGCTTTCAAATTTTCGATTTTTAAAATTTTTGATTTTTCGAGTTTTCAATTTCCCGATTTATCGAGTTTTCCACGTTTCGAATTTTCGATTGTTCAATTTTTCGTATGGACTATTTCGATTTCTCGACTTCTTAATCTTTTCATGTTTCGATTTTTCGGCTTCTCGATTTTTAGATTTTAGAGTTGTCCAATTTTTCGATATTCTTCAAATTTTCGATGTCTAGGTTTCTCGGTTTTTCGCCTTCTCCATTTTTAGACTTTGGGATTTTAGGATTAAGCTCCACCCCTCGGCTTACGACGAATAAAAAAAAATCGCCAGAATAGAGACAGTGCGGGTGGGCGGGGCTTATATTTTGCCTTTTTTTTTTTTTTTTTCTTAATATACATAGTCATTTTATCATACCAAGAAACTTATGGTACATTTTTACACAAAATATGGCTTCTGCAATTATGGGGCGGAGCTTGATTGCAAAATCGATATTTCCTTCTACGAATTTTCCATTTTAAACATGTTTTCAGTTACTTGTTGTAGAAATAAGTCTACACATATTAAGAAAAACAAAGGCAAAATATAGCCCCGCCCACCCGCCCTGTCTCAATTGTGATGATTTTTTTTATGCGCCGTGAACCAAGGGGGCAGAGTTTAACTGCAAAATCCTTATTTCTTTACAAGAAATTAAAAACATTTTGCGTATCGTGTTGTCCAAAAAATCTTATGTATATTAAGAAAAAAAGGCAACATATAAACCCCGCCCACCCACCCTATCTCAATTGTAAAAATTTTTTTTATTCTTAGACACTTAAAACGTGTTTAAAATGGTAAATTTTTGTAGGAAAATATGGATTTTGCTTTTAAGCTCCGCCCCTAGGTCTGGCAACGAATGGAAACTTCATTATTGCGTATTTAGATTAGGGCAGGTATGGGTGGGGTTTTAATTTTTTATTAAATTACATGGTATTCTTTGAACAACACGATACTGAAAAATATGTTTTTAATTTTTCGTCGAGAAATACGGATTTTGCAGTTAAGCTCCGCCCTCTTGGCTCACGACGAATTAAAAAAATCATCACAATTGAGACAAGGCGGGTGGGTGGGGCTACATTTTACCCTTGTTTTTCTTAATATGTGTAGCCTTATTTCGACAACAAGTAACTGAAAACATGTTTAAAATGGAAAATTTGTAAAAGGAAATATCGATTTTGCAATCAAGTTCCGCCCCATACCATAAGTTTCTTGGTATGAAAAGATGGCTATGTATATTAAGAAAAAAAAGGCAAAATATAAGCCCCGCCCACCCGCCCTATCTCTATTCTGGCGATTTTTTTTTTATTGGTCGTAAGCCGAGGGGTGGAGTTTAATCCTAAAATCCCAAAATCTAAAAATGGAGAAGCCGAAAAATCGAAAAACCTAGGCATCGAAAAATTGGAAAATTCTAAAATCTAAAAATCGAGAAGCCGAAAAATCGAAAAACCGGGACATCGAAAAATCTATTAATTGAAAAATCGAAAAATCAAAAATTTTAAAAATCGAAAATTTGAAAACTAAAACCGAGATGTCAAAAATCGAGGAATAGAAACAACAAAAAACTGAAAAACGTAAGATTAAAAATATCGAAAAATTGAAAAGTGGTAAAATTGAAGAACTGGAAAATGGAGAAATCGAAAAGTTTAAAATCTAAAATATATATCGAAAAACTGAACAATCGAAAATCACGCATTTTAAAAATCGAATACTTGAAAAATCCAAAAATCTATAATTTGAAAAATCCAGCAATTGAAGGATTCCCAAAATTGAAATGTTGAAAAATCAAGATGTCGAACACTTTATATTGCGACTCTATTTCTTAGTATACATAGTATTCTTTGAACACAAGAAAAGATGGCTATATATATTAAAAAAAAAAAGACAAAATATAATCCCCACCCACCCACCCACCCTTAAAATGCTAAATTTTTGTAGGAAAATATGGATTTTGCATTTAGGCTCCGCCCCTAGGTCTGGCAACGAATGAAAACTTCATTACTACATATTTAGATCAGGGCAGGTATGGGTGAGGCTTATTCTTTGGCTTTAATTTTTTCTTAATATACATAATATTCTTTGAACAACACGATACGCAAAACATTAATTTTTCGTAGAGAAATACGGATTTTGCAGTTAAGCTCCGCCCTCTTGGCTCACGACGAATAAAAAAAAATTATCACAATTAAGGCAGGGCGGGTGGGCGGGGCTACATTTTGCCTTTGTTTTTCTTAATATGCGTAGACTTACTTTGACAAGTAACTGAAAACATGTTTAAAATGGAAAATTTGTATAAGGAAATATCGATTTTGCAATCAAGCTCCGCCTCATAATTGCAAAATCCATATTTCCTTGTAAAAATGTACCTACCATGAGTTTCTTGTTGTGAAAAGATGGCTATGTGGACTAAGAAAAAAGAAAAGCAAAATGTAAGCCCCGCCCACCCGCCCTATCTCTATTCTGGCGATTTTTTTTTTACTCGTAAGCCGAGGGGTGGAGCTTAATCCTAAAATCTAAAAATGGAGAAGGTGAAAAACCGAGAAACCTAGACATTGAAAAATTGGAAAACTCAAATCTAAAAATCGAAAAACCAAGACATCGGAAAATCTATTAATTGAAAAATTGAAACATGAAAAGATTGAGAAGTCGAGAAAGAGAAATAGCCCATACGAAAAATTGAACATTGAAAATTCGAAACGTCGGAATTTCGATAAATTCAGAAATTGAAAAATCGAAAATTTGAAAACTCTAAAACCGAAAAGTCCAAAAATCGAGAAATAGAAACAACAAAAAAACTGAAAAACTTAAAATTAAAAATACTGAAAAATTGAAAAGTGGTAAAATTTAAGAACTGAAAAATAGAGAAATCGAAAAGGTTAAAATCTAATATATATATCGAAAAATTAAAATGTCGAAAAACTGAAGAATCCAAAATCAAACATTTTAAAAATCCAGCAATTTAAGGATTCCCAAAATTGAAATATTGAAAAATCGAGATATGAAAAACTTTTTTTATATGTGACATTATTTCTTAGTATACATAGTATCCTTTGAACAACACGATACTCAAACACATGTTTTTAATTTCTTGTAGAGAAATACGGATTTTGCAATTAAGCTCCGCCCTCTTGGCTCACGACGAATAAAAAAATCATCACAATTGAGACAGGGCGGGTGGGTGGTAAATATCGATTTTGGAATCAAGCTCCGCCCCATAATTACAAAATTCATATTTCCTTGTAAAAATGTACCTACCATAAGTTTCTTGTTGTGAAACGATGGCTGTGTAGATTAAGAAAAAACAAGGCAAAATATAAGCCCCGCCCACCCGCCCTGTCTATTCTGGCGATTTTTTTTTATTCGTCGTAAGCCGAGGGGTGGAGCTTAATCCTAAAATCTAAAAATGGAGAATCCGAAAAATCGAGAAACCTAGACATCGAAAAATTGGAAAACTCGAAAATCTAAAAATCGAAAAACCGATACATCGAAAAATCTATTAATTGAAGAAATGAGACATGAAAAGATTGAGAAGTCGAGAAATCTAAGTAGTTCATACGAAAAATTGAACAATCGTAACGTCGAAATCTCGATAAATCGGGAAATTGAAAAATCGAAAAATCAAAAATTTTAAAACTCTAAAACCGAGAAGTCCAAAAACCGAGAAATAGAAACAACAAAAAACTGAAAAACGTAAAATTAAAAAGTGTTAAATTGAAGAACTGAAAAATGAAGAAATCAAAAAGGTTAAAATCTAAAATCCAAAAATCTAGAATTTAAAAAATCGAAAATTTGAAAAATCAGCAATTTAAAGATTACCAAAATTGCAATGTTGAAAATCGAGATATCGAAAACTTTTTTTATATTGTGACTTTATTATACATAGTATTATTTGAACAAGTGGATACTCAAACACATGTTTTTAATTTCTTCTAAAGAAATAAGTATTTTGCAGTTAAAAAATCATCACAATTAAGATTGGGTGGGTGGGCGGGCCTAAATTTTGGTTTTTTGTTTTTCAATATCTATAGACTTCTTTTCCCAACATGAAACTTAAAACATGTTTTTTATTTTTCGTATAGAAATAAGGATTTGCAGTTAAGCTTCGCCCTCCCGGAGAATACAAAAATCATCACAATAGAGATCGGGCGGGTGGGCGGGCTTATATTTTGCCTTCTTCTTTTAATATTTGTAGACTTCTTTTCAGAACATGAAAATTAAAACATGTTTAAAATGTAAAATTTGTGTACCATTTCAACCATGTTGTAAGTTTCTTGTTGTTTAAAGAATACAATGTATATTAAGGAAAAAAAAGGCAAAATATAGGGCCCGCCCACCCGCCCTATCTCAAGTCGGATGAATAAAAAAGTGCAACGTCAAAATTGACCTGTTTGCTTAAAACATGATAAAGTACTTGAAATAGATGAAAAAACAGGTAAAAAAGGTTAAATAGATAAAAAAAAAAAGTGGGGTGAAACGTACCATTTTACTTACTATCAATTTGTCTCTTTTTTTGGTGTTATACTCCAGCACGTGTGATTCATGAATCCGTATTGAGTTTTCACCCTAGACATCCAGATTTTTGGAGAAAAAATCAAAATTGTGTAACATTTTACGATTTAACTTTGAAATTGTAAAACTAAATGCGTTAAAACCCTACAAGTTTTTTAAGATGATCGTAAGCGTGGTAAATCGTTAATCAACATTTTTTCGTTTATAGCCCCCTAAAAAAGATGTCATTTTATAATTTTGTAGAACAAATGTTTCTTAAATTTTATAGAGCTACATACTCCATGTATGTGTAATTTAGAATTCGTGTTTTTTACCGTAAATATAGAGATTTTTGGAGAAAAAATCAAAATTGTATTTTACAATTTAACTTGAAAATCTTCTTACATTTTTGCCAAATTTCTTCAAATTTATGTAGTGTCAAAATAACCTTCCACAATTTTTTTACTAGCTTTGTTTTCGTGGTTTTTCTTGGTAGCGTCATCAAAATTCCATAAACAATAAGAACTGTTTATCTTTAAAAATAAAAAATTGCAGGGGTTGTATCAAATCAAAACAAACACGATATTTTTGAAAACTGATTTTTTTGTTGCAGCACAAGTGATGAGCCAGTTCCCGCCAGGCTTCAACGCAGGCAATCTGCCGGGATTCGCGGCGGCGGCGGCGAACTTCGCCAACTTCAGACCCCAATATTCAGTGCCCGGGCAACCCCCGGCGGGTTTCCCGTCGTAAAGCGTCGTGGGAAGCCGTCAGTGAATTACTTTGCTCAGAAGAAGCTCCACGTGTCTGGCTGTTGGTGTATTTGGATTAGTGAATTAGCCTCAAAATTGCATTTAATTTATTTTCTTTTTATGTGGCAGTCTGTGTCCCCATTGTACTTTTTTAGAGAATTTAGCATATGGAGTAAACGATTCATTAAATCAAAAGTATTTGACATGAATCATGTATTTATTTTATCGTTAGTCGAATTGTTTAGGTTATGTGCTTTCTGTTGCGGAATGAGGACGCAGGGTGAATGTTTCGTGTAACTTTGTAGGTAGCAATAGTAATATATCCACTTTTTGTGAAGTGGGGTAGGATTTTTTATCTGGTATGTTTATTCTCCAGCATTCCTTAAGTAAGCAAATAGTAAACACAACAACAACGGTGGTTTCATTTATCCACAAACTCTCGAATGATCAATATATTATTAAAAAATAAAAAATAAAAAAAAAAGTGCAACTTAAGTCACATTCTATAAAGCTACTAAAATAAGGCACTTCCGTGCTCATAAAACTCTATCAAAAGTGTAAACGAGTATAAAAATTAGGCCGACGTTGGCGGCGATGCAGGCGCAGGGGTGCCACCACCGCTTTGATTCTCAGACATCGTCCTCTGCATAGCCAACCGTCTTTGTACTCTAGCTGCACGCTCAGCCTTGAGTGCCCTGTAAAACGCGAAAAACACGAAAATTCCCAGGCCGTGGAAAGCGCAACATGAAAATCCCATGATCGTGGCATCAATTAAAATCCGCTTCGCATAAGTAGCGAGCGGTTTTTGGCAACCAGTTTGAAAAATTTCGGTGCAGGTCATATTTTTCAACTCCTTGTGGCAGCAAGAGAGCGGGAGGATGTTTTTCTTCTCGTAGGCTTTGGGGCCGTCGAATCCGCAACATCGCAGCTAAAAACAACAAAAATTAACAAGTTATTATCATTGTTTAAGTATATTATAGTTGGACAACCTATACGGACAATCACTTTCCCATGTAGAAAAGAATGGATATATATTTTACATCTCACTCGCTTCACTATAATATATGTATATGTAGTGCATACCTGTTTCAAGGTTAAGGTAACAAAAATTTAATATTATCGCGGTATACCTATTATCCATGAACTGCATGGCTAACAAATATGCGTCCCTTCGTCCACTTTAAAGGTATACGAAATTAAACGACCACTACTTTAATTAATAAGTAACAAGTCATCTAATTTGCCTCCAGAATAACTATGGATTATCATCAAACTATGAACACCAAATTAATTCAATATGAACATCTTCTTACGTATTTTTTTTTATTAACAGTAGTCAAATCATTAAATACATATTATTTTTGAAACTAAAATGCATTTTATCCTAAGATTGTACCACAAAATATTCATCACCATTTAAATATATACGATTTAGACATCAAGAAATAAATATAAAATTGCAAAAATTATACTAAAACAGCCTTAAATGTGTCTTGTATGTTTAAGTGCTTATCAGTATGTAGCCATTTTAACGCACAGCAATAATCGTTCTTGATGAGTAATGACTGATGACTACTGTACCACAGTAAATCCTCGAAATCGAAAATTTAAAACACTGAAAAATTCAAATATGGGAAAATTGTAAAATCGAGAAATCGAAACATAAAAAAATCAAAAAATTAAAATTGGAAAACCTAAAATTTAAAAATCGGTTAATTCAAAAATCGAAACATCGAAAAATTGGAAAATCGAAAAATAAAAAAAATTGGACAATCGAAAATTTAAAAATTCCGAAAATTGAAAAATTGAAATATAGAGAACTGAAAACTCAAAAAATCGAAAAAAATTAATAATTTCAAAAATTGAAAAGTTAAAATTGAGAAATCGAAAAACTGAAAAATCACAAAATTGAACGAAATATCAAAAAATTAGGAAATTAAAAAACTGAGAAACAAAAAAGTCAAAAAAGCAGAGTCTAAAAATCGCAAATTTAAAAAATCGAAAAATTGAAAAATCAAAAACCTGAATAATCGAAAAATTGAAGAACTGAAGAATTGAAAAATCGAAACTTTAGGAAGTGGAGAAATGGGAATATAAAAAAATAGATTAATTGAGAAATCAGAAAACTAAAAATTCAGAAACGTCAAAATTTGAAAAATAAAAAAATATTGAAGAACTAAAAACTCGAAAAATCTAAAATTTAAAACATTGAAAAATTAAAATATCCTAAAACTGAAAAATGGAGAAATCCAAACATCAAAAAATCAAAAATAAAAATAAAAATCTAAAATTTAATAATCGAAAAACTGAAAAATCAACGAATCGAGAAGTTGAGAATTTAAAAAATTGGACAATTGAAAAATCGGATAAATCAAAAATCGAAACATCGAAAAATCGAGAAACCGAAAAGCAAAAAATCGAAAAACCAACAAATCGAAAAATCGAAACATTGTAAAATTCAAAAATTGAGATATCGAGAAATCGAAAAATCAAAAGACAAAAAAAAATCGAGGAGTCGAAAAATCGAGAAGTCGAAAAATCAAAAAATTGAGAAACCGAAGTAGGCCAAAATCGAAAAATCGAAAACTTAAATATGGAAAAATTGATAAAGCGAGAGATTGAATAATCAAAACATCGAAACATCCGAATCTCCATGAATTGAGATCTCAAAAAATTTTTAAACATTCGTAAATTTAAAAAATTAAAATATAGAACTGGAAACTCGAGAAACTGAAAAATCTAGAAATTTAAAAATTAAAATATGAAAAAGTTGAAAAATTGAAATAAAAAACAAAAAACTGAAAATCCAAAAATAAAAAATAGAAAAATCTAGAAGTCGAAAAATGAAAGAATCGAAGTATTGAAAAATATCAAAACTGAAAGAAATATCCAAAAATTGAGAAATCGACAAACCAATAAAGCGAAGTCGAAAAATCGAAGAATTGAAGAACTGAAAAATCGAAACTTTGAGAAGTGGGAAAATCAAAAATAGATTAATTGAGAAATCAGAAAACTGAAAATTTAAGGCAAAAATTTGAAAAATCCAAAAATTTAAATACTGAAGAACTGAAAAGTCAAAAAATCGAGAAATCGAAAAAACTAAAATTTAAAACAATGAATAATTAAAATATCGCAAAATTGAAGAATCGAGAGATCCAATTCAATTTGAAAAATTGAAAAATCGGGGCATTGAAAAATTGGAAAATCCAGAAATTGAAAAGCTCAAAAGCAAAAAATCGAAAAACCGAGAAATCCAAAAATCGAAACATCGAAAAATTCAAAAACTGAGACTTCGAGAAATCGAAAAATCGGAGGATCGAGAAATTGAGGAGTCGGAAGCCGAAAAGGAAAGTTAAAAATTGAAAAATTGAGAAATTGAACAATCAAAACAACGAAACATCTGAATTCGATAAATTGAGAAATTAAAAAATTGAATAATCGAAAAATTTTAAAAAAGAAAAACTGGAAAATCAAAAATTAAAATTCAAAAAATCGAAAAATTGAAATATAGAAGAACTGAAAACTCGAGTTATCGAAAAACCTAGGATTTTAAAAAATGAAATATTAAAACATCAAAAAGTTTAAAAATTGAGAAATCGAAGCATTAAACAGTCCCAGAATTGAAAAATCTAAAGTTTACAATAAATTGAAAATCCAAAAAGGAAAAAAGCGAGAAATCAAAAAAAAATCCATCAATTCAAAAATCGAAAAGTCGAAAAATTGAAATATTGAAAAATCTCATAACTGAAAGAAATATTCAAAAAATTGAGAAATTAAAAAATTGGAAAATTGAGAAATCGAAAATCTAAAAAAGCAAAATTGAAAAATCGTAATCTTAAAAAATCGAAAAATTGAGGAATTGAAGATGTGAAAAATCGAAACTTTAGGAAATCCAGAAATGGACAAATAAAAAAAAATACTTTAGAAATCGGCAAACTGAAAATTTAGAAACGTGAAAATTTGAAAAATTGAAAAATCGAAATATTTAAAAACCGTAAAATTGAAGAGGACAAAAATTGAGAAATCGTATCATTGAAACTTCGTAAGATTGAGAAATCGAAAAATAAAAAAATCGAGAAATAGAAAATTTAAGGAATGGAGGAATCGCAAAAGCCCAAAATTGAAATATTGAAAAATTGAGACATTTAAAGTTGAAAAATCGAGAAATCGACAAGCCGAAAAATCTCAATAGCGTATTTAGGTATAAATCGCAAGATCAGGAGTATTCTACTTTTTAAAATTTAAATACATAACATTATAAATTGGAAAATTGGCTTAAAGTCGATATTGGCCTGAGTGTGCTTTGGTCTGTAGATCAAACAAGTTCTCAGGCGACGAAAAATTGCATGTGGAGGGAGACTTCGGATTACAAATCGTGCCAAGAAAGACATATTTGGGAGAGATGGATTTTCAGGTGCTTGACTAGCGGTAATTTTAAATTGTTTGCTGTCGTTCGCGAAGTGAAGAACACAATTTCATTAAAATGATAATTATAAAATTATCATAATCACTATTGGTGTTAATTAACACAAAATGGCGCGTAAGTTATCAGTTGATTTCGTTAATAAATTCATAGAAATCTATATGGGATTTTTTCATGCCTTAGAAAATTAAAAAGTAAAAAATACAATAACAAAAATTTTAAAATGCGGTTTACGAAAAATTAGTTGACCTGTGCAAAGAAGAAAATTTTGGAAACGCTGACAAATATGACATCTTAAAAAAAATAACACTTGAAGAAGTGCTTTCGGCGTAGTATTTTTGATGCTGGCGTGAACAAAATACTCAATACAAGTGTGCAAAAAGTTTTAACTGTGCAGATCTAGCCGAAAATCCGAAAACCAAATCGCTGTGTGTACAGACAAAATAAAGCTTCAAACATGATTATTTTTATACTAAAATTCTGAAGTTTATAAACTGCACATTTTATTTATTTATTTATTTATTTATTTTATCTTGTCTTCGAACTATAATAAACATTTCAAACAATGTCTGTAACTTATTTTAATGTAAATTATATACATGTGGTTAACAAAATCAGATGTAATATTAGTGTGATTTTGACCTTATTCTAGATTTTATTACAGCAGAACGGCGTATCCTTTTTAAATTTTAGAAGTTACGGAAACTAGTTCAAGAAACAATTAGTTATCTCGTATTTTTGGAACAAAATCTACCAAAATGTCCGATAACAGCAATTGTTTTTCATAGAAACAAACAGTCTTCAAAGCAGCCTTTAACAACTCGATATTACAAACATGCCTCTTAAGTTCTTAATGCGTTTTTTTCTCTCTTGTAATTATTTGTAATGTTAACGCCGAAAGTTTATATCATTCTGTTATTTACTTTGAACATATATTTTCATTTTGTGTTAATATTTTTGTAACACCACGAATCTAAATTTTACTTAAAATCTTGTTTTACTTTAATCTTGTAAAACTAAACAATTATACCAGTTTAAAAACCCTTGGAAAGTTTCTGTCAGTCTTCAGATATAGTCAAATAAAAATATGCGTCAAATTCATTTAAATTCAATTCTTTCTTATCACGTTACAACGCGTTGCTTCATATTTTTTATGTCAAGTATATTTTCATATTTTGTACATATATGTTTATACACATTACTGTTTACGGAACAATGTTAATTATGGATTTATGGATAACTCCTCGTATAAGAGCAGAGTGAAGGGTGTTTGCCTTTGCTAATGTTTGATGGCGCCATCTGATTTAGAGGAAAATAAACCTAATACGTTGGCTCACTGTAGTGAAAATGCGCGTTGACGAAAAATTTGTCCCACGCCCCCTGGATTCCTTGTCCTAAAGCTCACTATTTAGGCGAAGTAAAATTTGTATTTGGTTGTCCAACTATAATATACTTAAACAATGTTATTATCAATGAACGAAAGAAATAATCGTGTTCGAGTGAACAGTTTAGTAAAAATGTAAAAAAAAAAACTGACAGCGGTGGGATTCGAACCCACGCCCTTTCGGACTGGTGCCTAAAACCAGCGCCTTAGACCGCTCGGCCACGCTGCCGGTGGTTATGCTGGCAGCGCGGTGTCGTAGTTACGTACCTCGGATTCCAGACTTGCCCAATCTTTCTTATCGTAGTCATGGTTGAGTAGTTCTTGGAAAGACGTCGACATTAAATGCCAGGATTCGACGTCGACTTCGTCCCATAGAATTATCGACCAAACACCAAGGGCACATTCCGCTACTAATAAGACTAGCGTGACTACCATAAACTGGAAGTAAGACCGTTTTAGATGCATTCGACGGTTTTCCGTGGGTTTTTTACCAAAATAATGTGAATGTCGTGCTCTCTGGTGGGACCTTTAATACCCAACCAGGTGAGAAAAAGGTGAATAAACCCTAACAAGAAGTAAACGATAAACGGGCCTACGGAACTCGAGGGAATGAATTTAAAATGGTAAATCACTTTGTAGAGAAGAACTACAGAAAAACCTATTAATAATACACCTGAAATCTAATTTTGGTCGTTTAACGGTGAGCGAAAGTGGGGCAAAACTTCTACTTACAAATAACAATGCCGAATACAGCACACAGAACATTTCTTTAACTTTAAGCGATGCCATCACTTATTTATCTAGTATAAATCACAATCGAATCACGGATTCTTGCTGCTACAAGTCATGGTAAGTTTCTGAATGAACAATGGTGCGAAGATCGCAGCAAGCGCGACTACCATCACAGGTAAATATAAAACGAGGAATTAATTTCAATTTATCGGATTTAAGATGCATTGACCAATGGTAGGATCAATTAATTTTAATCAATATCGCTGCATTTGATTCCGCTTGCTTTTTTCTAAAAATAGCCATTCTATCATAAAAGTGGTTGCCTATTTAATAGCCCCGAGAATGGCAGGTATTTGAAATTGATTAAGTTGTTGGTAAAACTGGCTAAAGATGGGCGCGCAAAACACTCGCGAAGGACGCCAATCGTTTGTAAAACGACCGAAAGGGGCGCTGACATCCTTGACGTCATTGGCGTTTTGAAAAAGGAAAACAAAGCTAGTAAAAAAAATGTAGAAGGTTATTTTATAATTTCCGCTTATTTAAAATTACATTATTAAATTAGATTCTGCCATTTTCGGTTTGTGATAGGTGTTAACGTCTATTTTTATAAAGTGACGTAATTAACATCCCCGCAACCCCTACGTCTTTAAATATGAAATATATTTAAAGCAGATAATTAACGGGAAAAATGTGAACAATTTTAATTTCTCTCTATATGCTTAACTTCAACTGATTGATTAATTCGTACTCAGTTTTTTCCCAAAAACACTCATAAACTTGAAGAAATTCGGCAAAAATGTAAGATGACGGGCAAATTTTGACTACTATGCTTCGAATAATCTTAAAACATTTGCGATTTCACAGCATTCGGTTTTTGCAATTTCAAAGTTACATTACAAATATCTATATTTTCTTGTATATTTCGGGCAGCAGAAGTCACTCTTGCTTTCATTTCTTCGATAACTCCAATGGTTCTTCCAGAATCGACCTTTGAAATATTCAAAAATATGCAAAATCCGCCCAATTTTCTTGTAGATTTCGGGCCCCAGAAATCATATCCGCTTTGATTTCTTCCATAACTCGAATGGTTTTTCCAGAATCGTCCTTTGAAATATTAAAAAATATGCAAAATCTGCTCAATTTTCGACCAATTTTCAAGAAAATTTTCGAAATTTTACTAAATACATTTTCTTGTAGATTTCTGGCCGTAGAAGTCATATCTTCTGACATTTCTTCGATAACTCCAATAGTTTTTCTAGAATTGTCCTTTGAAATATTCAAAAATATGCAAAGTGCGCCCAATTTTCTACCAATTTTCAACAAAATTTTCGAAATTTCACTAAATACATTTTCTTGTAAATTTCGGGCCGTAAAGTCATATCCGCTTTCATTTCTTCGATAACTCCAATGGTTTTTCCAGAATCGTGCTTTGAAATATTCAAAAATATGCAAAATCCGTCCAATTTTCGACCAATTTTCAACAAAATTGTAGAAATTTCACTAAATACATTTTATTGTAGATTTCGGGCCGCAGAAGTCATATCCGCTTTCATTTCTTCGATAACTGCAATGGTTTTTCCAGAATCGTCCTATGAAATATTCAAAAATATGCAAAATCCGCCCAATTTTCCACCAATTTTCAACAAAATTTTCGAAATTTCACTAAATACATTTTCTTGTAGATTTCGTCCCGCAGAAGTCATATCCGTTTTCATTTCTTCGATAAATCCAATGGTTCTCCCAGAATAGTCCTTTGAAATATTCAAAAATATGCAAAATCCGTCCAATTATTTTCTTCTATGGAATGGGGGTGGAAACTAATAAAATCTAGGACGTGAAAAAGGTAAAAAAAAGCGCTAACCGTAAATTTTTTTTGTACTATTTGCCACTGGAACAGTAAAAATTGTTATACATATTTCAGTTGGCGATTTTGGAGAAACGATAGAAATTTTCGAAGTCATATCTTATAAAATCTAGGCCCGCCCACCCACCCTCTGTTTTCTTGGAAGATATGTCATTTGCTAAAAACAGTCTTATCTAATCACGATAACGATAGAAATTTTCGAAGAAACAAAGCCTAAAATGACTTCTGGATGTCGAAATCTACAAGAAAATGTCTAGCTAATTTTCGAAAATGGTTGAAAAATGGTCAAAAATGTCAAAAATCTCGATGTCGAAATCTACAAGAAAATGTCTAGCTAATTTTAAAATTGGACGAATTTTGAATATTTTTGAATATTTCAAAGCACGATTTTGGAAGAACCATTGTAGTTATCGAAGAAATGAAAGCGGATATGACTTCTACGGCCCGAAATCTACAAAAAAATATATTTAGTGAAATTTCGAAAATTTTGTTCAAAATTGGTCGAAAATTGGGCGAATTTTGCATATTTTTGAATATTTCAAAGGATGATTCTGGAAGAACCATTGGAGTTATCGAAGAAATGAAAGCGGATATGACTTCTACGGCCTGAAATCTACAAGAAAATGTATTTAGTGAAATTTCGAAAATTTTGTTGAAAATTGGTTGAAAATTAGGCGAATTTTGCATATTTTTGAATATTTCAAAGCACGATTTTGGAAGAACCATTGTAGTTATCGAAGAAATGAAAGCGGATATGACTTCTACGGCCCGAAATCTACAAAAAAATGTATTTAGTGAAATTTCGAAAATTTGGTTCAAAATTTGTCGAAAATTGGGCGAATTTTGCATATTTTTGAATATTTCAAAGGACGATTCTGGAAGAACCATTGGAGTTATCGAAGAAATGAAAGCGCAAATGACTTCTACGGCCCGAAATCTACAAGAAAATGTATTAAGTGCAAATTAAAATATAAGCCCCGCCCACCCGCCCTATCTCAATTCTGATGAATGAAAACTGCAACGTCAAAATTGGCCTGTTTTCTGAAAACATGATAAAGTACCTTGATGAAAAAACAGGTAAAAAAAAATTGATTAACGATAACTTAAAACGTTTCCAAAATTTCGGATCACTTTCAAAGAAAAATTTAAGATGTTATAATTTTGATTTTTTCTCCAAACTACTGTAAATTTTGGAGATGACGTCAACAAATTTTTGGTAGGGATGTTCATTAGTGCCACATGACTTAACCAAAATTATAATTTTTGACGTTACCAGTTATTACAAGTTAAAAAATGCAGCCAAGAAATACACATTCAACTTGTGTACATTTTTGTTGATCTTTAACATGTGTCAATTTGTCTTTTTAACAGTAATAATTCACCCGCTGCCGCACTCATCTCTACTCGGTCATTGAATTGGTATTTGCATAGGTCACTCAGATTGCTCCAGATCCCCCTTTGCACCTATTTTTTAGTCTGGTTGGTCAGGACAATGCAAATTCGCTTGGAAATACTTAAATAAAACAAATTGCCCCCTGACTTTCCAAAATCTCGTAAATTCTCTCAAAAACTTTCGAAATTCCGGGTGAAAGTCTGGTTGGCAGCCCTGGCGATCACAAAAATGGCGATTGTTTGCACACATGGTTAAATTAATGCATCCATTTCAGCTAAAAAAGTATGTACACCCTCCTGCACGGCTTCGTCAAGTACATGGTGCAAAAAGATGAGTTCTGTGTGTTGATCCTCGGGCTCGACAACGCCGGAAAAACGGTAAGTTCGTCAAGAAGGGCTACCAACATGAATAACCCAATTTTCAGACGTACCTGGAGGCGGCAAAAACAAAACTTACGAAGAACTACACTCGGATCCACCCTAGTAAAATCACGACAACTGTAGGCTTAAATATTGGTAAGATAGACATAGCGGGGATAAGACTGAACTTTTGGGACCTCGGGGGGCAGAGCGAGCTGCAGTCTCTGTGGGATAAAGTAAGTCGGTGGATGTAGTTGTCACACTAACTACTTAAAACAAAAATTGCAGTATTATGCAGAGTCACACGCGATCATTTACATAGTGGATTCTTCAGACAGAGATAGAATAGATGATTCCAAAGAAACTTTCGGTTTGTGGCCCCAATTTAAACAACTGCGACTAATTTACAACTTTGTAGATAAGATGATAGCCAATGAGAACCTCCGCGGCATTCCCTTGCTTGTTTTAGCAAACAAACAGGACATTCCAGAGTGCATGGGCGTGAGGGAGGTGAAGCCGATTTTTAACAAAAACGCCCATCTGATTGGGAAGAGGGACTGCATGGTGATGCCCATCTCTGCCTTGACTGGGTAAACACGACAATAGTGGAGACCCAAGCTGATGTTTGCTTTCAGGGACGGGGTCGACGAGGGTATTAAATGGCTGGTCGACTGCATCAAACGCAACAGTTTCATAAGACCGGCGCGTAATCATGAAGAAAATTGATTTTATTACACAATTCGTAATCTGTGAGCCAACAAAATGAATAAATAGATAAAATAAGTGGCCTTATCTTTTAGTTATCACAGTCCGAGCAGGTGTTTGTGTATGTTTTGTAGGGGCGCTTAAGGCAGAATGTACCCGTATTATGAGAGCGAGTGGAGCGTTTTGCCCCCAGAACTCAACAGAAGGTAAAAGGGTAGAATTTTAAAGCTTGCGCTGGAAGAGCGGCTTTTGTGGAAGTCTGGGTCTAGGTTTTGGTTATGTTTGTGTTGTTTTGTTTTGTTTCGCAATTCCTTGAAAAGGTTATTTTTGTGTAATCTTACGACCGAATAAAGTTTTTTTCTGTTTGTTTTTGTGTTTTTTGCAAAAATTTCAACCGTCCTTTCTTGAGACGTCGACAGATGTGACGTCACGCGCCGGCCATATTGCATATGTCTGCCTTGTCAAAGTAAACCTTGTGGGATGGTCTAGAAACCGCAAAAAAACCCTCTGTATGACAATTTTTTAATTTGAAGTGCGTTTGCGTTACGTGGTAAGTGGTAAAGCACCCTCGCCCCCCAATTCGCCGAATTCGGGCCAAGCGGATGACACCTGTCAAAAGCCCGAGGTGCAAAATCGCAGGTGAATAATTGTAAATAACTCGCGCTGCGAATAACCAAACCTCGAAACCGACCGATGTTTATGTGTTGTTTGCTCTTTAATTAACCTCTGTGTGTCGCCCCGCTAAAAAAGCCGCAACATGAACGCTTCAGAACACGGGTAAATAACCCCTCCAGCCGCCGCAGCCCCCCTTAAACTAGCCCCGGTTTCAGGTTCAACCCGGCCTTTAACATGGCCACGATCAAGCAAGCAGTGAACGAAGCCATCGAGCGAGGTGAGCCCCCACAAATCCTAACCTTCTTACAACCAGTGCATTGCAGTCCGGATGCCCACCCCCATGCGCCTGCGGGACCTCATCCGCCAGATCCGGGCGGCGCGAACCGCCGCCGAGGAGCGCAGCGTGGTCAACAAGGAATGTGCGTACATCCGCTCCACCTTCCGCGAAGAGGACTCGGTCTGGCGCTGCCGGAACATCGCCAAGCTGCTCTACATCCACATGCTGGGGTACCCGGCGCACTTCGGCCAGCTGGAGTGTCTCAAACTGATCGCGAGCTCGCGCTTCACGGACAAACGGATCGGCTACCTGGGGGCCATGCTGCTCCTAGACGAACGACAAGACGTCCACTTGTTGATCACAAACTGCCTCAAAAAGTATACTCGACGAAGTTTGAGGCTTTAATTACGTGGGGTTGTTTTAGTGACTTGAATTCCACCACGCAGTTCGTCGTGGGGTTGGCGCTGTGCACTCTGGGGGCCATCGCGTCCCCAGAAATGGCGCGCGATTTAGCCGTGGAGGTCGAAAGACTAATGAAGTCGCCGAATGCATACATTAGGAAAAAAGCGGCCTTGTGCGCTTTCCGAATTATCAAACGAGTGCCTGAACTAATGGAGATTTTCTTGCCAGCGACGAGGAGTTTGCTCTCGGAAAAGAATCACGGTAAGGGGGTGCATCCACACCACGGGTCTATCTAACTTCGATATTGCAGGGGTGTTGATCACCGGGGTTACCCTCATCACGGAGATGTGTGAAAATAGCCCCGATACTTTAAATCACTTCAAAAAAGTAAGTACTTCGTTTTTTTATTTCTATAAGGTTAAATAATTCTAGGCTAAGTTGTGGTTTGTACAAACCCGCGTTTGCGTCAGCCTTGGATGATTAATTTATTTTTTGCGTTTTAATTACTGTGGGAGAAGAAAATACATTCTGTGAACACTTCTTTAATTAACACTACTATTTCTACAAACAATTGTTGTCTAGGGTTATGTATATAATAAACACATCAAACGTGTCTGAGAAGCTAAATCGTGCTGAGTCACTTTATAATCAGGCTTGCACGGAATTAATAAAATTTCTTTTTGCGTTTTATGGCGAAAGAGTGGTTTTTATAGCAACTAAATTAACTGCTTAATTGAAATATGTTTATGGTGCTTGCGGAACTGAATCGTTTCTTAATTGGGTTAAGAAAGTGTCATGTTTTCTTTAAATTTGTACGCATTATGTGTGGGATGTTCGCTGTGTGGGTGTTCCTCAATATTTTTGCCGATTTTCGATTGCCAAAATTGAGTGGAAATTTCGCCTCATTAATTTGGAATTTCTGTTTATTTTCGTTTTAATTTATTTATAATGATAATTAACTCGAAATTTCGACTTAATGAACTTTAAATTTTGACTGTCGATTTTGAAAATTTTGGACTTACTTCAAAATGTGGCTTTCTTATTCCGAAGTATTGACTTTTGAACGTGAAACTGATATTTAATATTTCGATACTCTCCGTATTAACTTTACGTTTCGATTAAACTGCAAATTTTGACTTAAATTTTGAAATTTAAACTTCTTCGGTTCGAAATTTATCGTCTTGATTTAGACTTTACTTTTTGGATATTTTGACTGGAAATTTCTTACATACAGTATTGTTTATTTGACCTTTGGTTCTACATAAGTAGGCTGGACTTCCCAGCAGTGTAAAAGGAAATCGAAAATAAAAAATTTGAAAATTCAGATAATCAAAAAACGGAGAAGTAGACAAATCGAAAATCCAAAAGTCGAAAAACTGAAAAGTCGAGAAATCGTAAAATTGAAAAATCGAAAAATCGAAAATTTGAAAATTCAAAAATCGAAGAAACGAGAAATCTAAAAATCGCAAAACTGAAAAATTGAGAAATCGAAAAGTCAAAAATTCAAAAAATCTAAAATCGAGAATGGAAAAATGAAAAGTCGATAATTCGATATTTTGAGAAATCAAAAAGTCGAGAAATCCTAAATTATCGAAATATGTATTGAAAAACCGAAAAGTCGATAAAAACGGTATCTCGAGAAATCGAAAATTCAAAAAAAAATCCTAAAGTCGAAAATTCGAAAAACTGAAAAAATCGGAAAGTGGAGAACTCGAGGAATCAGAAAATCGAAAAGCCTCGAAATCGAAGAATTTAAAAATGAAAAATTCGAGAAATCGTAAAATTGGAAAATGAAAAATGGAAAACCGAAAAGTCGATATTTTGAGAAATCAAAAAGTCAAAAAATCCTAAATTCGAAAAACTGAAAAATTTAAGTTGAAATATGCATTGAAAAATCGAAAAATTGATATCTCGAGAAACCAAAAATTCAAAAAAATCCTAAAAAACTGAGAAACTCGGGAAACCGAGAACTCGAGAAATTTAAAAATAGAAAAATCAAGAAATTGTGAAATTGAAAAATGGAAAACCGGGAAAAAAGTCAAAACTTAAATCGGAATATGTATTGAAAAATCGAGATTTTGAAAAAACGAAAAAATGAGTTGAAAAATCAAAAATCCAAGAAACTAAAAATCGAGAATTTGAAAAATCGAGAAATCGAAAATTCAAGAAATCCTAAAATCGAAAAGTCTAGAAATCGAAAAATCGAAATTTAAAAATTCGAAAAATTAAAATCCAAAAACCGAGAAATGAAAAATCGAAGAATCGAGAAATCGAAAAATCGCAAAACTGAAAAACTGAGAATTCAAAAAGTCGAAAATTTGGAAAAATTAAAAAATTGAGGGTTCGAAATTTAGAAAAATCGAGAAATCAAAAATTCAAGAAATCCTAATCGAAAATTTGAAAATTCAAGAAATCGAAAAATCGGGAAAAAATCGGAAAGTCGAAGAATCGGCAATCTGAAAAATTGAAAAACCGAAAAATTCAAGTCGAAATATGTATTGAAAAATCGAAAAAGTGAAAGTCGAAAAATCGAAAATCCAAAAAACAAAAAATTGGGAAATCAAAAATTCAAGAAATCCTGAAATTGAAATTCGAAAAACTGAAATTAATCGAGAAATCGGGAACTCCAGAAATCGAACAATTTAAAAATAGAAAAATCAAGAAATTGTGAAATTGAAAAATGGAAAACCGGGAAAAAAGTCAAAACTTAAATCGGAATATGTATTGAAAAATCGAGATTTTGAAAAAACGAAAAAATGAGTTGAAAAATCAAAAATCTAAGAAACTAAAAATCGAGAATTTGAAAAATCGAGAAATCGAAAATTCAAGAAATCCTAAAATCGAAAAGTCTAGAAATCGAAAAATCGAAATTTAAAAATTCGAAAAATTAAAATCCAAAAACCGAGAAATGAAAAATCGAAGAATCGAGAAATCGAAAAATCGCAAAACTTAAAAACTGAGAATTCAAAAAGTCGAAAATTTGGAAAAATTAAAAAATTGAGGATTCGAAATATAGAAAAATCGAGAAATCGTAAAATTGACAATTGAAAAACGGAAAAACCGAAAACTCGATAAATCGATATTTCAAGAAATCAAAAATTCAAGAAATCCTAATCGAAAATTTGAAAATTCAAGAAATCGAAAAATCGAAAAAATCGAAAAGTCGAAGAATCGGTAATCTGAAAAATAGAAAAACCGAAAAATTCAAGTCGAAATATGTATTGAAAAATCGAAAAAGTGAAAGTCGAAAAATCGAAAATCCAAAAAACAAAAAATTGAGAAATCGGGAACTCCAGAAATCGAAAAATCAAAAGTAGAGAAATGGAAAAATCGAAAATTTAAAAACCGAAAAACTAAAATCCAAAAACCGAGAAACAAAAAATCGAAGAATCGAGAAATTTAGAATTCGAAAAGTCAAAACTTTCGAAAAATTAAAAAATTAAAAATCCGAAATATAGAAATACAGAAAAATCGAGAAATCGTAAAATTGACAATTGAAAAACGGAAAAACGCAAATCTCGATAAATCGGTATCTCGAGGAATCAAAAAGTCACGAAATTCTAAATTCGAAAAGTTGAGAAATCGAATAATTAATAATATAATAAATGGAAAATTTAAAAATTCAAAAAACATCTCGTAATGTGCATTGCAAGTTAAAAAACCGAAAATCTAAAATTTAGAAATTGAAAAATCGCAAAATTGAAAAATTGAGATATCGAAAAATCGAAAATTCTAAAAATCTAATAACTGCAAAATCGGGAAATCGTAACATTGAAAACTGAACAAGCGAAAAACCGAAAAGTCGATAAATTCATACCACGAGAAATCAAAATTTTAAGAAATCCTAATCGAAAATTTAAAAATTCAAGAAATCGAAAAATCGGAAAATGAAAAATCGAAAAACTGAAAAATTTAAGTTGAAATATTGTTATCGAGAAATCGAGAAATCGAAAAATTGTAAAAATCGGGAAATCGAAGATTCGAGGAATCGAAAAATCGAAAAGCCGAGAAATCGAACAATCCAAAAATTGAAAATTCGAGACATCGTAGAACAGAAAATTGAAAAATCGAAAAACTGAAAAATTTAAATCGAAATATGAATTGAAATATCGAGAAATCGAAAAACCGAAAAGTCGAGAAAAAACGATATCTCGAGAAATCAGAAATTCAAAAAAATCTTAAAACGAAAATTCGAAAAACTGAAAAAATCAGGAAATCAAGAATCGAGGAATCGAAAAGTGGAAAAGTCGAGAAATCGAACAATCTAAAAATTGAAAAATCGGGAAAGTGTGAAATTGAAAAATGGAAAACCGAGAAAAAAGTCAGGAAATTCTAAATTTGAAAAATCGAAAAACTATGACAACTACAATCGAGATCAAAAATTGAAAAAATGAGTCGAAAAATGGAAAATCCAAAAAACTAAAAATTGAGAAATCGGAAACTCCAGGATTCGAAAAATCAAAAGTAGAGAAATCGAAAAATGGCAACACTGGAAAATTGAGAATTCGAAAAGTCGAAAATTTCGAAAAATTAAAAAATCGTGAAATTCAAAAATGTAAAATTAAAAAATCGAAGTTAGGAAATCTAAAAATTGAACGACCGAAAAACTGAAAAACTTAATCGAAATATGTATTGAGATATCGAGATTTTGAAAAAATCGGAAAAGTGATAGTCGAAAAATCGAAAATCCAAAAGAATAAAATTCGAAAAAGTGGAAAAATCGAGAAATGAAAAATTTAAGAAACCCTGAAATCGAAAAACTGAAAAAATCTAGAAATCGGGAACTCCGGATAATTCAAAAAATTAAAATCCAATAACCGGGAAATAAATAATCGAAGAATCGAAAAATCACAAAACTGAAAAATTGAAAATTCGAAAAGGCGAAAATTTCGAAAAATTAAAAAATTGAAAAACGGAAAAACCGAAAATTCGATAAATCGATATCTCGAGGAATCAAAAAGTCACGAAATTTTAAAATCGAAAAGTCGAGGAATCGAACAATAAATAATATAATAAATCGAAAATTTAAAAATAAAAAAAAAATGATAAACAGACAAAAAAATTGAAAAATTTATCTCAAAATAGGTATTGCAAGTCGAAAAATTGAAAATCTAAAAATCTAGAAATTGAAAAATTGTATAATTGAAAAATTTAAACATCGAAAATTGTAAAAATCTAAAAACTGGAAAATCGGGAAATCGTGAAATTGAAAATTGACCAAGCGAAAAACCGAAAATTGGATAAATCGATATCGCAAGAAATTAAAAACTCAAGAAATCCTAATCGAAAAGTCAAATAAAATTGAAAATTGAGAAATGGATAACTGAAAAGTCGATAAATCGATATTTTCAGAAATCAAAAAGTCAAGAAATGCTAAATTCAAAAAACTGAAAAATCGAGAAATAAAAAATCGAAAAATCGGGAAATTGAAAAATTGATTAATAATCGAAAAACTGAAATAAATTTGAGTCGAAATGTGTATTGAAAAATCGAGAAATCAAAAATTCATAAAAAATCTTAAAATTGAAAAATCGAAAAACGGACGATTTACCTTAAAAACCGAGGAATCAAGAAATCGAAAAATTGAACGATCGAAAAACTGAAAAACTTATGTCGAAATATGTATTGAAAAATCAAAAATCCAAAAAACTAAAAACCGAGAAATAAAAAATTCAACAAATTCTAAAACAAAAAAGTCGAAAAACTGAAAGAAACTCGAAAAAGCGAGATTCCAGAAATCGAAAAATCAAAAGTAGGGAAAACGAAAAATGGAAAATGTAAAAAATCAAAACATTAAAATCCAAAAACCGAGAAATAAAAAATTGAAGAATCGAGAAATTGAAAATTCGAAAAGTCGAAACTTTCGAATTGGCAATTGAAAAACGGAAACACCGAAAACTCGATAAATCGATATTTCGAGGAATCAAAAAGTCACGAAATTCCAAAGTCGAAAAGTCGAGAAATCGTACAATAAATAATTCAATAAATTGAAAAGTCGAGAAATCGGAAAGTAAAAATTGACATTTGAAAAATCGAAAAACCAAAATGTCGTTAAATCGATATCTGGAGAAATAAAAAATTCAAGAAATCGAAAAATCGGGAAATAAAAAATCGAAGAAACGAGAAATCGAAAAATCGCAAAACTGAAAAATTGAGAAATCGGAAAGCAAACAATTCAAAAAATCTAATAATTGAAAAATGGACAACCGAAAACTCGATACATCGATATTCTGGGAAATCGAAAAGTCAAGAAATTCTAAATTCGAAAAACTGAAAAATCAAGAAAGAAAAAATCGCAGAATTTAAGTCAAAATATGTATTGAAAAATCGGAAAATCGAAAAACCGAAAAGTCGATAAATTGATATCTCGAGAAATCAAAAAATCAAGAAATCCTAAAATCGAAAAACTGAAAAAATCGAGAATTTGGTATCTCGAAATATAGAAATATAGAAAAATCGAGAAATCGTAAAATTGACAATTGAAAAACGGAAAAACCGAAAACTCGGTAAATCGATATCTTGAGGAATCAAAGTCACGGAATTTTAAGGTCGAAAATTCGAGAAGTCGGACAATAAATGTAATAATAAATCGAAAATTGAAAAATTACAAAATTGAAAATTTGAGACATCGAAAAATTAACAATTCTAAAAATCTAAAAACTGGAAAATGGAGAAATCTTAAGGCTGGCGTCTGGTTCGGTTTAGCCCTATATTAAATACATTGAAAACATCGTCGCGGTTTCCGGAGTTGCATTTTAAAAATATGAGATATATCGCTTTAAAAAAATTATATTTCGAATTAACAAACTTCAGTCCAGGGGACCTCCATATTTATATTCATATCTAGTATGCAGTTTTTACAAAAAAAAAATTATAAAGTTGAACAACTTTTACATCACATTTTAACCGGCACATTGATGCATTTTTTGACGAAGTGCTGAAGTTTTTTGCATTCTGAGATAGGAGGTCCCCTGGGGAAAAGTGTCAGCTTTCTTTTGATACCATTTATAATATTAAAAAATCCACGACTGAGGTAAATAACTCGCGAAAAGTCAAAATCTATTGAAACAAGAAATCGGCATTAAACGAGCTGTGATGCGGTAGCAGAATGCAGGTTTACTTAGATTCTGACTTGGATGGAGATTTCAGTATTTTAAAAATGCAATTCCGGAAACTACGACGATGTTTTCAATGTATTTAGTATTGGGCGAAACCGAACCAGACGCCACCCTTAAAATTGAAAATTGAAGAATCGAAAAACCGAAATCCATAAATCGATATTTCGAGAAATTAAAAAAATCAAGAAATTCTAAATTCGGAAAGTCGAAAAATCGAAAAGTCAAAAAATCGAAAATTTAAAAAATCGAAAAACCGATAAAAAACGAAGACTAGAGAATCCTTACAGGTATACGCGAACTAAATGACCGTTGGGGGCGCCACTGTTAACTGCAACATGGCCGCTCTAAGGCATATTTGACGTATCCTTTATGGCAAGTCTTAAGTGTCCATCGTGTGAAAAAAGTGTGTTGTGTTAATAAATCGAGCGTTTTTGTAGTGGATTTGTTCAGTTTACAGCCTGTTTCGTTGTTTGTGTCAGTTTTTTTTGTAGTTCACATTTTATTAACCCTTTGTTTAACTTTTTAAGTGAACACATGCTAAATCATGTGGTGTTAAAACTTCTGTGAAAACTTTATTAATTATAGCGATTATTGTTTTTTAAATTAAGTGTTCATTTCATACTATGTATGAGTGGAATAATGCATAATAATAAAATAATAAAGCATGAATAATATTACAGGTTATTGCTGTCACCGTTTTAAACAAAACTGCTAAAACAGCATAAGAAAATGTATTTTTCAGTTTCATAAAAGTTAACAGAACATGTTCTTTCAAGTTTAATTTATGTTTATTACAGAATTTTCCAAACATCTCCTCACAATTTGCAACAATAGCATTAAATAACAGAAAGGATGGTATTCCAGCCATTGTATTTAAATCATTATCAGATTTAAGTGTACTTATAAAAGGTGCCACTAAATCTCCACTTGTCACTTGAATATTTTTATCCTTTTTTTGTGAATTTTGTAAATGTAACAAAGCCTGCACGGTTTCCATTTCTAATGCTAGAAAATAATCTGTATTTTTTAAATATCATCAAATGTATACATACTTGAAACAGTTTTTTGATGTAACTGACTGCTGTCGAAGCAATTTACATCAGTACTATCTGTACTTGAAATTATGTAACCTTCAGATTTTCTCATTGTTGTACTTCTGACTGCTTTAAAGTCTCGATTTTTGGGCCTTCTAGGTAGTAATTCTTTAGTAATGATACTTACATCTACAATATTTCATTTATTGTCTATTATACATTAACAACATTTACCCAAATCTGTACTTACCAGGTAATATTTTTATTTTTATTTATTTTATCCTATGATGTCTCTAACAAGCTGGAGGCCCAATTACAGGAAACAGGACATACACAACACCCAAAAGGCAAGGCGGGAATCGAACCCACGACCCAAGGTGTAGTGGGCAAGCACGAAGCTAACTAACCCACCTGGGTCCTCAAATCAAATCCTCAATATGAAATCATCCTGATTACAATGTGAACACACTTTCATGTGCTTTGTTGCTGGTTTTCCCATATTTAGCTTTACCATCCAAGTCTTATATCTGTCCATTTTTTTCCCTGATTCCTAACCTAAAAATATAATATATATATACATATTATACTGATAATCAAAAACAATTTAGTTAAATACTGATTAAACTAAATTTACTGTTGATATGAATACTTACCTGTTCATAACATTTAAACAAATGACTTGTTTTTTATGGGGAATTTATGAAAAGAGAGCCCACTGTTTGTATTGTTTCTGCTATGGCAGCGAAAAACACAACAATTTGTATTGTTAACAGTCATTTTTTCAGGAATACTGGGACCAACTTATTTAATTTTGTTGGTTTAACATAAAACAACGAAATTTCACTGTACAACCAACAGTATTTACATCTTTCACTATGCTCCTGAGTAGTGCACATTTTTGACACCAGGTGTCGTATCAGATCATTTAGATCGCGTATAGGAATTATTATTATTTTCTTTAAATAAATTTGCCTTCTTCATTTACATTTCAATCGCCACTTGTCTGTGTTATTTTTTTTTCAATTTATTTACACTTTTAACTTCTTTTCTGTTTCAGTACGAAATAAAAAACAAAACCGTAAGATCAAAACCAATTTTTGTTGTGCTAATCGTTGTGATTTTACAAACGCAACTAACCCACCCCTGTACGCCCCGAGTGCCTCCCCTCCCCAATTCTCAAAAACTCACACCTTCAAATTTTCAGATCGTTCCGAACCTGGTCCGCATCTTAAAAAATCTAATCCTGGCCGGCTACTCCCCCGACCACGACGTCTCCGGCGTGAGCGACCCCTTCTTGCAAGTAAAAATCTTGAAACTCCTCCGCGTCCTCGGCCGCAACGACGCCGACGCCTCCGAAGCCATGAACGACATCCTAGCTCAAGTCGCCACCAACACCGAAACGAGTAAAAACGTTGGCAACACGATCCTATACGAGACTGTCTTATCCATAATGGATATCAAATCCGAGGGCGGCTTGCGAGTGCTCGCCGTCAATATTTTAGGGAGGTTCCTGTTGAACAACGACAAGAACATACGCTACGTCGCGCTGAATACTTTATTGAGGACGGTCCACGTGGACACGTCGGCGGTGCAGAGGCACAGATCGACGATCTTGGAATGCCTGAAGGACCCGGATATTTCGATCAGGCGGAGGGCGATGGAGTTGTCCTTCGCGTTGGTCAATTCGCAGAACATCAGGACGATGATGAAGGAGTTGATCACGTTCTTGGAGAAGGCGGACCCGGAGTTTAAGGCGCATTGTTCGTCGAGCATCGTCTTGTCGGCGGAGAGGTTCGCACCGAACAAGAGGTGGCATTTGGATACGTTGTTGAAAGTATTGATTGGGGTGAGTGGATTTGTTTGTGACGTCATTAAGTTAAGTGTGACGTCATACGTACTTTTTACTTCGTGAGCGTAAGTTAGGAAGTATTGTAATCGAGTGCGTTGGACGACTAGCTACATTTGTATTTTCTCGACGTTTTATGACCCCTAAAATAGGAAATAATAGGTCTCTCGTTTCTATCTGTCTGTCTAACATCTGTCCGATTTTTATTAGACAGATTTATTTAGTTATTAAAAAAAAAATATTTCTTAGTCATAAATTTTGGAATTACTTATACGGGGTGCCTCAAAAAATTAATAAATGAGGCAATTTAACTCAACTTTTACAATTTTTCAAAAAATCTGGTTTGATTTATTTTTTACCAATTTTTGGTGTCACAATTTTTCGTTTTTTCAACTTTCATTTTTTCAATTTTTCATTTCTTCAATTCGATTTGCAATTGTATAATTTTGCAACTTTTCATTTTTCCATTTTTCAAATTCTCATTTTTCATTTTTTCGTTTCTACAATTTTTCAAAGTCTTGATTTTTATTTTTCATTTTACTTATTTTTCAATTTTCATTTTCTCTATTTAATATCGCAATTTTTCGTTTTTCAATTCCGCTTATTTGTTCAATGTTTGTTTCTATTTTATAATTTTTAATCTTTGTTTTTTCAATTTCTCGATTTTCCAATTTTTAAATTTTTCAGTTTGCAATTTTTGGAGTTTTCGATTTCGTTAAAAAGTTTTTTCATTTTTGATTTTTCAATTTTACAATTTTGCTGTTTTTCCATTTTTTTTTCGAAAAGTTGACAAATGGGAAAAAATTAAAAAACGAGAATTTGCAAAATCGAAAAAGTGGAAAATTCAAAAACCAAACATTTGGGAACTCCAAGAATAGAAAAATCACAAGCATAGAAATCGAAAAATCAAAATTTAAAAATTCGAAAAATTAAAATCCAAAAACCGAGAAATGAAAAATGGAAGAATTGAGAAATCGAAAAATCGCAAAACTGAAAAATTGAGACACCGAAAAGTTAAAAATTCAAAAAATCCAAAAATTGAAAATTGAAAAATGAAAAAACCGAAAAGTCAAGGTCTTGATTTTTATTTGTCATTTTACTTATTTTTCAGTTTTCATTTTCTCTATTTTATATCACAATTTTTCGTTTTTCAATTCTCCTTATTTGTTCAATGTTTGTTTCTATTTAATAATTTTTAATCTTTGATTTTTCAATTTCGCGATTTTCCGATTTTTAAATTTTTCAGTTTGCAATTTTTGGATTTTTCGATTTCCTTAAAATTCAAAATTTCAATTTCACAATATTTCGTTTTTTCGATTTTCAAGTTCTTGATTTCCAGTTTTTTGCTTTTTCAAAGTTTTTTCATTTTTGATTTTTCAATTTTACAAGTCTGCTATTTTTCCATTTTTTTTTCGAAAAGTTGAAAAATGGGAAAAACGAAAAAAACGAGAAATTGCAAAATCGAAATAGAGAAAAATTGAAAAACCAAAAATCGAGAAACTTAAAAATGGACAAAAGTTAATGAATCGAAAAATTAGAAAGAAGAAAAAACAAATCGAATCCAAACGTTGGCAAATCCAACCGAGAAAAAAGTCATAACTTAAATCGGAATATGTATTGAAAAATCGAGATTTTGAAAAAACGAAAAAATGAGTTGAAAAATCAAAAATCCAAAGAACTAAAAATCGAGAAATCGAAAATTCAAGAAATCCTAAAATCGAAAAGTCGAAAAACTGAAAAAAATCGAAAAATTGGGAACTCCAAGAATAGAAAAGTCACAAGTATAGAAATCGGCATATCGAAATTTAAAAATTCGAAAAATTAAAAATTGAAAATTCGAAATATCCGAAAATCCAGAAATCGTAAAATTGGCAATTGAAAACCGGAAAAACCGAAAACTCGATAAATCGATATCTCGAGAAATCAAAAATTCAAGAAATCCTAATTGAAAATTTGAAAATTCAAGAAATCGAAAAATCGCAAAACTGAAAAATTGAGAAACCGAAAAGTTAAAAATAAAAAAAATCCAAAAATTGAAAAATGAAAAAACCGAAAAGTCGATAAATCGATATTTTGTGAAATCAAAAATTCAGGAAATTCTAAATTCGAAAAATTGAAAAATCGAGAAAAAAAAGACTCGAAGAATCTCTAATTTGAAAAATTGAAAAACTCGAAAAAAGTCGAAATATGTATTGAAAAATCGAAAAATCGAAAATCCAAAAAACCAAAAATTGAGAAATCAAAAATTCAAGAAGTCCTAAAATTGATAACTCGAAAAACTGAAAAAAAAGTAGAGAAATGGAAAAATCGAAAATTGAAAAACCGAAAAACTAAAATCCAAAAACCGAGAAATAAAATCTGGTTTTATTTATTACTTCCCGAGCGTAAGCAAAGGAAGTATTGTAATCGAGTCCGTCGGCCGACTCTCTACTTTTACGTTTTCTCGATCTTTCATGACCCCTAGAAGACGAAGAAATAGGTCTCCCATTTCCGTCTGTCTGTCCGTCTGTCCGTCTGTCTGTCTGTCCGTCTGTCCGTCCGTCTGTCCGTCTGTCCGTCTGTCCGTCTGTTGTCACGGATTTTTATTAGACAGATAATCTCCGAAAGTACTCGACCGATTGTTGTGAAATTTTGTACTTATATTAAGAATATCATGTAGATGGTAAAACGCTAACCAAAATTTGTCGAATCATCCCCACCACTAAAGCGATGACGTCACTTCAAAATTGTACATAGTAAATGGGTTTTCAATTGTATAAAATAACATAGTCCTACACATGTAGTTTACAACTCTGAATCGACTTTTCACCCGAAACGTCCAGATTTTTGGAAAAAAAATCAAAATTATAAAACAACATTTTGAAATTTAATTTTTAATCTGCTAACCAGAATGCTTTGAAATGTTGCAGATGTTTTAAGGCTATAAAGAGCATCATAAATCTTTAGTCAAAAAATATTTGCTTATCCCCTCCAAAAACTTGATGACGTCAGCTCAAAAGTTTGTGGAATAAATCATATCTAAAATGTACAAAATATGATGAGTCTGTACTTGTGAACTATCACTCCATTAATATTTTTTGGATTTGCATATACAGGGTGACTCAAAAAAATTAATGAATGCGTAAATATATTTTATTGATTTAATCAGGAACTACAAAACCGAATGGTCTGAAATATTGCAGATGTTTTAAGGTCATAAAGAGCATAATAAATGTTTAGTCAAAATATATTTGCTTATCCCCTCCAAAAACTTGATGACGTCAGCTCGAAAGTTTGCCGAATAAATCATATCTAAAATGTACAAAATATGATGAGCCTGTACTTGTCATTTATCATTCCATTCATATTTTTTGGATTTGCATATACAGAGTGACTCAAAAAAATTAATGAATGCGTAAATTTATTTTATTGATTTAATCAGGAACTACAAAACCGAATGCTTTGAAATCTTGCAGATGTTTTAAGGTTATAAAGAGCATAATAAATTTTTAGTCAAAATATATTTGGTTATCTTCTACAAAAAACTGATGACGTCAGCTCAAAAGTTTTCCGAATAAATCGTATCTAAAATGTACAAAATATGATGAGTCTGTACTTGTGATTTATCATTCCATTCATATTTTTGGATTTGCATATGCAGGGTGACTCAAAAAAATTAATGAAGGCGTGAATTTATTTTATCGATTTAATCAGGAATTACAAAACCGAATGCTTTGAAATCTTGGGAATATTTTAAAGTTATTATAAGCATGGTAAACTTTTGTTCAAAATGTATTTGTTCATCCCTCCTAAAAAAATTGATGACGTCACCCTTAAATTTTGCTGAATAAATCCTATCTAAAATGCAAAAAATATGATGAGTTTGTACTTGTGATTTATCATTCCATTCATATTTTTTAGATTTTCTTAAGAGGTGGTTCAAAAAAATTAATGAAGTCAATTTATTTTATTGATTAAATTAAAGGCAACACTTATTATTAGTATTACACCCCAACCAACCCAATTTGGTAGACACAAAATTTGTTAAAGGAAAAACTCGGTTGAAACATAAGGGTAGCACGCTTATTTACATCGACTTTAACATTACAGACCTGCATTTGTTTTATGCGTTCACTTGATTCCGCGAATGTGAAATAGACATGTTTATAATCAACCAATTGTGAATTTCACCGTCAAGAATTAAAATAAAACCCAATGTTTTATATAATAAGCGGAAGTCGAAGCAATAAAACCGACGGTCGTTTTGTTTACAGTTTCTGTGTTTGGCTCTCACGTATGCTGTTACGCCTGTCATCTTAAATTAACAATGTTTATACATACACGATTTTCAGTTGCCTCTGATACGTAGGTATACGTGAGTAAATTGTTTCGTTATTTTATTGATTATTACAAATCAATATTCAAACGACCCAATTCATTTTCCCGAAAATTTGAGAATATAATAATTTTATTCTTAGTATTACACTACATCTATCCCAACTGATATACGTGTCCTTGCAAAAATGTTGATGACGTCATCGCAATTTTTTTTTAAATTCCCACTACAAAAATGTAATGAGAAAAAAAACACAATAGGCATGCAGTCGTCAAGTTTCCGACAGCGAGGGAAGTACTGTCTAAACTCTTTAGACCAATTTTTTTTTCCAATTTTATGGTATCACAATTTTTCGATTTGCATTTGTTCAATTTTGCAACTTTTCATTTTTCGATTTTTTCAGTTTCTCATTTTTCATTTTTTCGTTTCCACAATTTTTCAAGGTCTTGATTTTTATTTTTCATTTTACTTATTTTTCAATTTTCATTTTCTCTATTTAATATGGTAATTTTTCGTTTTTCAGTTTCGCTTATTTGTTCAATATTTGTTTCTGTTTTATAATTTTTAATCTTTGATTTCACAATTTTTCGATTTTCCAATTTTTTAATTTTTCAGTTTTCAATTTTTGGAGTTTTCGATTTCCTTAAAATTCAAAATTTCAATTTCACAATATTTCGTTTTTTCGATTTTCAAGTTCTTGATGCCCAGTTTTTAGCTTTTTAGTTTTTTCATTTTTGACTTTTCAATTTTACAATTTTGCTATTTTTCCATTTTTTTTCGAAAAGTTGAAAAATGGAAAAACTGAAAAAACGAGAAATTGCAAAATCAAAAAAGTGGAAAATTGAAAAACCAAAAATCGAGAAAGTTAAAAATGGACAAAAGCTAATACATGAAAAATGGAAAAACTCAAAAGTCGTAAAATAAAAAAAGTGGAAATTTTTAACAATTACAATTATTACTACATATTTAAAATGAAAACTAGAAAAATTGGAAATCAAGGAAAATCGGTTAACTGAAAATCTAAAATTGAAAACTGAAATTGCTAACCGAAAAATTGAAAAATCGAAATATTGAAACATTTCACATTGAAAAAAAATTAAATCAGAACATTGAAAAACCGAAAAATTGAAAAAATGAAGAAAATAAAAAACCGAAACGAAAAATTTCAAGTCGAAAAATGGAAAAATCGTAAAAATGGATAAAATTGCAATTGAAAAAATAATAAATTTTAAAATCGGAACATTGAAAACTCCAAAAATTGTAAAAATAAAGAAAAAAAAACCGAAATGAAAATCTGAAATATTGAAAAACTCAAAATCTATGAATCGTAACATTGAAAAACCCAAAAATTTTAAAATCAAAAAATTATGGAATCGTCAAATTTGTAAAGTCCAAAAATTGCACCATTGAAAGATCGAAAAATTTTAAATCAAAAATGGAAAAATCGAATAAATGAAAAAGGAAAAACTCAAAAGTCGTAAAATTGAAAAAGTGAAATTTTTTAACGATTACAATTATTATTACTACATATTTAAAATGAAAACTAGAAACATTGCAAATCAAAAATTGAAGAAACAGAAAATTTAAAAATCGGGTAACTGAAAATCTAAAACCGAAAAATTAAAAAATTGAAATTTGAAAAATTGAAAACTGATAAGTTCTAAATCGAAAAATTGTAAAAATAAAGAAAATGAAAATCCGAAATGAAAAACTGAAACATTAAAAAACAAAAAGTCTATGAATCAAAAAATTGGAAAGAAGAAAAAACGAATCGAATCGGAACATTGGAAAACCCAAAAATTTTAATAAAAAAATGTATGGAATCGTCAAATTTGTAAAGGCGAAAACTGTAACATTTAAAGATCGAAAAATTAAAAATTGAAAAATGGAATAAATGAAAAAGTTTTAAAATCCAATAATTGAAAAATGGAAAAACTCAAAAGTCGTAAAATTGAAAAAGCGAACATTTTTTTAAATTACAATTATATATTACATATAAAATACATACATAAAATTGAAAAATCGGGTAACTGAAATCTGAAACTGAAAAACCGAAAAATTGAAAAATCCAAAAATTGAAAGATTTCATCTTGAAAAAAATTTTAAAATCAGAATATTGAAAAACCGAAAAATCGAAAAAATGTAGAAAATAGAAAACCAAAACGAAAAATTTCAAAGCGAAAGATGGAAAAAAATCGTAAAAAATGGAGAAAATTAAAATTGAAAAAACAATAAATTTTAAAATCGGAACAGTGAAACATCCAAAAATTGTAAAAACAATGAAAATAAAATACCCAAGTGAAAACCTGAAATATCGAAAAACTAAAAATCTATTAATCGAAACATTGGAAAACCCAAAAATTTTAAAATCAAAAAATTAGGGAATCGTCAAATTTGTAAAGTCAAAAAATTGTAGCAATAAAGAATCGAAAAATTTTAAATCAAAAATTGAAAAATCGAATAAATAAAAAATGCAAAAACTAAATGAAAAATGGAAAAACTCAAGTCGTAAAATTAAAAAAAGTCAAAATTTATAAAATTACAATTACATATTTAAAATGAAAATTAGGAAAATTGGAAATCAAAAAAAAGATAAATTGAAAAATCGGGTAATTCAAAATTTGAAACCGAAAAATTAAAAAATCTAAAATTTGAAACATCGAAAAACTGAAGACTGAAAAATCGCCAATTGAAAAATCCAAAAATTGAAAGATTTCACATTTAAGAAATGAAGAAAATAAAAAACCGAAACGAAAAATTGCAAATCGAAAAATGGAAAAAACAATAAATTTTAAAGTCGGAACATTGAAAAATTGAAAAATTGTAAAAACAAGGAAAATAAAAAACCGAAATGAAAAACTGCAGGATTGAAAAACTAAAAATCTATATTAATCGAAAAATTCAACAAAAGAAAAAATGAATTGGAAAACCCAAAAATTTTAAAATAAAAAAATTATAGAATCGTCAAATTTGTAAAGTCGAAAACTGTAACATTAAAAAATCGAAAAATTAAAAATCAAAAATTGAAAATCGAATAAATGAAAAAGTTTAAAATCCAATAATTGGAAAACGGAAAAACTCGTAAAATTGAAAAAGTGAAAAATTGTTTAAATTTGTAATTTAAGTTTGTATGAAATGAAAAATGGAAAAACTCAAAAGTCGTAAAAATTCAACAAGTAAAAATTTATAAAATTACAATTATTACATATTTAAACAGAAAACTAGGAAAATTGGAAATCAAAGAAAAGAAACATTGAAAAATCGGGTAAATGAAAATTTGAAACTGAAAAACCGAAAAATTAAAAAATCTAAAATTTGAAAAATCGAAAAAATGAAAACTGAAAAATTGCTAATTGAAAAATTGAAAAATCCAAAAATTGGGAGATTTCACATTGAAAAAATGAAGCAAATAAAAGACCTAAACGAAAAATTGCAAATCGAAAAATGGAAAAATCGTAAAAATGGACAAAATTAAGATCGAAAAAACAATAAATTTTAAAGTCGGAACATTGAAAAATCGAAAAATTGTAAAAACAAGGAAAATAAAAAACCGAAATGAAAAACTGCAACATTGAAAAACTAAAAATCTATTAATCGAAATATTCAAAAGAAGAAAAAATGAATTGGAAAACCCAACAATTTTAGAATAAAAAAATTATAGAATCGTCAAAATTGTTAACTCGAAAACTGTAACATTGAAAAATCGAAAAATTGAAAAAAATAATATATATAGAGAAATTCAAAAATTGAAAATCGAAAAATTAAAAAATCGAATAAATGAAAAAGTTCTAAAATCCAGCAATTGGAAACTGAAAATTTTTAAAAATTACAATTAATTTTTGACATTTAAAATAAAAACTAGAAAAATTGCAAATCGAAAAATTGAAAAATTTAATATAGAGAAATCCAATAATTAAAAATCGAATAAATGAAAATTTTTAAAAATTTTGAAAAGTGGAAAAGCTAAAATTGTAAAATTGATAAAGTGAATTTTTTTTTAAATTACAATTATTAGTTAATATTTAAAATGAAAACTAGAAAAATGTAAAAACTCGAAAAATTGCAAAATCTACAAATTGAAACATTCAAAAATTGTAAAAATTACATATCGTAAAATTGAAGAAACAAAAATAGAATGAAAATTTGAAAAATTGCAAATCGAAAATTTGATAAAATTGAAACTAAAAAAAAATAAAATCGGAACATTGAAAAATCAAAAAATTATAAAAATAAAAAACCGAAACAAAAAATTGCAAATTGAAAATTTGAAGAAATGGAAAATTGCAAAATCGTAAATTGAAAAATAGAAAAACCGCAAAATTTTTATCTTGTGTATGAGTTATGATTCAATTAATGTGCATGTGTGGCGTTTAATCGCCCGTAGTATATTTCCCCGTAACACGTAGGTGATTAATCCGTAGGCCGGCAACTATGTGCGCGATGACGTCATCTCCTCCACAATCCAATTAATCTCGGAAAGCACCAATCAGCAACCTTATATGACCTTGCAACTCTACAAGGCTTTATCAGAAGACTTGATGGACAAGCAACCTTTAACTCAAGTAGCCGTCTGGGCTATAGGGGAGTACGGCGACCAGCTGCTGCAAGCAGCCGTCGACGACGACTCCAACGTGACTCCCCCGACGGAGGACGAAGTGATCGATCTATACCAGAAGTTGCTGTGGTCTCCGCAGAACTCCACCACGACTAAACAGTACGCTTTGATGTCGTTAACAAAACTGAGCACTAGGTTCACGGCTACTAATAAGTAAGGTGGTTAACCGGTCGCTACTTTTCTTAATTTGTGTCTGTTTAGCAAAATCCAACAAATTATCAGCTCGTTTTGTTCGAGTTTGCACATAGAGCTGCAGCAGAGAGGCGTCGAGTTTTCTCAGTTTTTCGGGAAGTATTCGCACTTGCGACCTTCTCTGCTGGAGAGGATGCCCCCGATGGAGCTGGTGCGGCAGAGCGCCGAAACACACACGAACGGCGACGTGGAAAGTGAGGTCAAGACGCCTGAAGACAGCCCCCAGCATATTAACAACGATTCGGTGAGTGTGCACTGTGTGTTTCGTCTTTGTAAGTCGGGTTTTGTAGAACGCTCTTCTGGATCTGTTGGTCGATTTCGGGGGCACGCCTCCAGCGCCACAACCGGCCACCACGACAACCACGACTAGCAACAAAGTAGACTTATTAGATCTTTTTAATGAAATGGATAATATAGACACGCCAGCCTTACAAACTATTCCTTCGACCGATACGACAAATTTGGGCTTGATTGTAGAAAATAACAACGGTAGTTTGCCTATTGTGATTAACCAGAACTCGAATTTCATTGGGGAGATTTGTTAAGTAACTCTAAAACTGTGAATGGTAAGGTATTGTAGCGTAACCGTAAAACGGGTGTAAAGTTGGCTGTGTTGTAGAAAAAGACGTGCCTACGATCACGGCTTACGATAAAGACGGACTGAGAATGTCTTTTTCGTTGGAAAAAGTGCCAGATAGTAACACTTTGACGATACACGTGGTAGCTACCAATCAGATGTTGTCGCCGATGACGGACTTCTTGTTCCAAGCTGCAGTTCCTAAGGTAAGTCTGCGGAAAAATTAACACCTCTGATGACGCTTTTGCAGACATTCCAGTTGCAAATGATGTCCCCGTCGGGGACCGTTATGGGTCCAAATGGACAAATCACGCAGGTGTTGAAAGTAACAAACCCAAATAAGGTAACGATTTATTTTTAAACGATGATCTGTGGCGAAACCTTGTTTATCGTGCGTGCAAGGCTCACGATCTTAGCTATAATTGGACGGCTTTTTGCACAAAGGCACCAATCCACAAAATCGTATTTTTAAAACAAACATGAACTTTGAACCCTAGAAGACTTCATGAACGTATTCCATATGTTAAAATAGCGATTTTTAAATTCTATTTAACTTTTTTTTACCATGAACCAATCAACAATTTCTTTAAATTTTGTAATCAGTTTTGCAGAAAGGAACCAGTCCACAATAAGCCGTATTCTATTATAGTAGTCGACATTTTGCAATTTTTTACCTATAACTCTGATAATAAAGACTGCTTTGAGCCTAATGAATTACTTTGTACATATTATGTTTGTAATTGAAAAATCGGATAAATCAAAAATCTAAACATCGTAAAATCGAGAAACCGAAAAGCAAAAATCGAAAAACCAACAAATCGAAAAATCGAAACATTGTCAAATTCAAAAATTGAGACATCGAGAAATCGAAAAATCAAAAGACAAAAAAATCGAGGAGTCGAAAAATCGAGAAGTCGAAAAAACAAAAAATTGAGAAACCGAAATAGGCCAAAATCGAAAAATTGAAAACTTAAATATGGAAAAATTGATAACGCGAGAGATTGAATAATTAAAACATCGAAACATCCGAATCTCAATAAATTGAAATCTCAAAAAATTTTAAAATTCGGAAATTTGAAGAATTAAAATATAGAACTGGAAACTCGAGAAACCGAAAAATCTAGAAATTTAAAAATTAAAATATGGAAAATTTGAAAAATTGAGAAATTGAAATATAAAACAATCGAAACATTGAAAAATCTAAAGTATAAAAACCAAAAAACTGCAAATCCAAAAATAAAAAATAGAAAAATCTAGAAGTCGAAAAATCAAATCGAAGTATTGAAAAATATCAAAACTGAAAGAAATATCCAAAAATTGAGAAATCGAAAAACCAATAAAGCGAAGTCGAAAAATCGAAACTTTGAGAAGTGGGAAAATCAAAAATAGATTAATTGAGAAATCAGAAAACTGAAAATTTAACGCAAAAATTTGAAAAATTGAAAAATTTAAATACTGAAGAACTGAAAAGTCAAAAAATCGAGAAATCGAAAAATCTAAAATTTAAAACATTGAATAATTAAAATATCACAAAATTGAAGAATCGAGAAATCCAATTCAATTTGAAAAATTGAAAAATCGGGACATTGAAAAATCCAAAAATTGAAAAGCTCAAAAGAAAAAAATCGAAAAACCGAGAAATCCAAAAATCGAAACATCGAAAAATTCAAAAACTGAGACTTCGAGAAATCGAAAAATCGGAGGATCGAGAAATTGAGGAGTCGGAAGCCGAAAAGGAAAGTTGAAAATTGAAAAATTGAGAAATTGAACAATCAAAACAACGAAACATCTGAATTCGATAAATTTAGAAATTAAAAAATTGAATAATCGAAAAATTTTAAAAAAGAAAAACTGGAAAATCAAAAATTAAAATTCAAAAAATCGAATAATTGAAAAATTGAAATATAGAAGAACTGAAAACTCGAGATATCGAAAACCCTAGAATTTTAAAAAATGGAATATTAAAACATCGAAAAGTTTAAAAATTGAGAAATCGAAGCATTAAACAGTCCCAGAGTTGAAAAATCTAAAGTTTATAATAAATTGAAAATCCAAAAAGGAAAAAAGCGAGAAATAAAAAAAAATCCATCAATTCAAAAATCGAAAAGTCGAAAAATTGAAATATTGAAAAATCTCATAACTGAAAGAAATATTCAAAAAATTGAGAAATTAAAAAATTGGAAAATTGAGAAATCGAAAAATTGAGGAAGTGAAGATGTGAAAAATCGAAACTTTAGGAAATCCAGAAATGGACAAATGAAAAAATACTTTAGAAATCGGCAAACTGAAAATTTAGAAACGTGAAAATTTGAAAATTTGAAAAATCGAAATATTTAAAAACCGTAAAATTGAAGAGGAGAAAAATTGAGAAATCGTATCATTGAAACATCGTAAAATCGAGAAATCGAAACATAAAAAAATCAAAAAAATTAAAATTGGAAAATCTAAAATTTAAAAATCGAGAAATTGAACAATCGGTTAATTCAAAAATCGAAACATCGAAAAATTGTAAAATCGAAAAATAAAAAAAATTGGACAATCGAAAATTTAAAAATTCCGAAAATTGAAAAATTGAAATATAGAGAACTGAAAACTCAAAAAATCGAAAAAAATTGATAATTTCAAAAATTGAAAAGTTAAAATTGAGAAATCGAAAAACTGAAAAATCACAAAATTGAACGAAATATCCAAAAATTAGGAAATTAAAAAATTGAGAAACAGAAAAGTCAAAAAAGGAGTCAAAAAATCGTAAACTTAAAACATCGAAAAATTGAAAAATCAAAAACCTGAATAATCGAAAAATTGAAGAATTGAAGAACTGAAAAATCGAAACTTTAGGAAGTGGAGAAATAGGAATATAAAAAAATAGATTGAGAAATCCGAAAACTAAAAATTCAGAAACGTCAAAATTTGAAAAATGAAAAAATATTGAAGAACTAAAAAATCGAAAAATCTAAAATTTAAAACATTGAAAAGTTAAAATATCCTAAAACTGAAAAATGGAGAAATCCAAACATCAAAAAATAAAAAATTAAAATAAAAATAAAAATCTAAAATTTAATAATCGAAAAAGTGAAAAATCAACGAATCGAGAAGTCGAGAATTTAAAAAATTGGACAATTGAAAAATCGGATAAATCAAAAATCGAAACATCGAGAAACCGAAAAGCAAAAAATCGAAAAACCAACAAATCGAAAAATCGAAACATTGTAAAATTCAGAAATCGAAAAATCAAAAGACAAAAAAAATCGAGGAGTCGAAAAATCGAGAAGTCGAAAAATCAAAAAATTGAGAAACCGAAGTAGGCCAAAATCGAAAAATCGAAAACTTAAATATGGAAAAATTAATAAAGCGAGAGATTGAATAATCAAAACATCGAAACATCCGAATCTCAATGAATTGAGATCTCAAAAAATTTAAACATTCGTAAATTTAAAAAATTAAAATATAGAACTGGAAACTCGAGAAACCGAAAAATCTAGAAATTTAAAAATTAAAATATGAAAAAGTTGAAAAATTGAGAAATTGAAATAAAAAACAAAAAACTGAAAATCCAAAAATAAAAAATAGAAAAATCTAGAAGTTGAAAAATGAAAGAATCGAAGTATTGAAAAATATCAAAACTGAAAGAAATATCCAAATATTGAGAAATCGAAAAACCAATAAAGCGAAGTCGAAAAATCGAAGAATTGAAGAACTGAAAAAGTCAAAAAGTCGAGAAATCGAAAAAACTAAAATTTAAAACATTGAATAATTAAAATATCACAAAATTGAAGAATCGAGAAATCCAATTCAATTTGAAAAATTGAAAAATCGGGACATTGAAAAATTGGAAAATCCAGAAATTGAAAAGCTCAAAAGAAAAAAATCGAAAAACCGAGAAATCCAAAAATCGAAACATCGAAAAATTCAAAAACTGAGACTTCGAGAAATCGAAAAATCGGAGGATCGAGAAATTGAGGAGTCGGAAGCCGAAAAGGAAAGTTAAAAAGTGAAAAATTGAGAAATTGAGCAATCAAAACAACGAAACATCTGAATTCGATAAATTGAGAAATTAAAAAATTGAATAATCGAAAAATTTTAAAAAAGAAAAACAGGAAAATCAAAAATTAAAATTCAAAAAATCGAATAATTGAAAAATTGAAATATAGAAGAACTGAAAACTCGAAATATCGAAAAACCTAGAATTTTAAAAAATGAATTATTAAAACATCGAAAAGTTTAAAAATTGAGAAAACGAAGCATTAAACAGTCCCAGAATTGAAAAATCCAAAGTTTACAATAAATTGAAAATCCAAAAAGGAAAAAAGCGAGAAATAAAAAAAAATCCATCAATTCAAAAATCGAAAAGTCAAAAAATTGAAATATTGAAAAATCTCATAACTGAAAGAAATATTCAAAAAATTGAGAAATTAAAAAATTGGAAAATTGAGAAATCGAAAATCTAAAAAAGCAAAATTGAAAAATCGTAATCTTAAAAAATCGAAAAATTGAGGAATTGAAGATGTGAAAAATCGAAACTTTAGGAAATCCAGAAATGGACAAATGAAAAAAATACTTTAGAAATCGGCAAACTGAAAATTTAGAAACGTGAAAATTTGAAAAATTGAAAAATCGAAATATTTAAAAACCGTAAAATTGAAGAGGACAAAAATTGAGAAATCGTATCATTGAAACATCGTAAAATCGAGAAATCGAAGCATAGAAAAATCAAAAAAATTAAAATTGGAAAATCCAAAATTTAAAAATCGAGAAATTGAACAATCGGTTAATTCAAAAATCGAAACATCGAAAAATTGTAAAATCGAAAAATAAAAAAAATTGGACAATCGAAAATTTAAAAATTCCGAAAATTGAAAAATTGAAATATAGAGAAGTGAAAACTCAAAAAATCGAAAAAAATTAATAATTTCAAAAATTGAAAAGTTAAAATTGAGAAATCGAAAAACTGAAAAATCACAAAATTGAACGAAATATCCAAAAATTAGGAAATTAAAAAATTGAGAAACAAAAAAGTCAAAAATGCAGAGTCTAAAAATCGCAAACTTAAAAAATCGAGAAATTGAAAAATCAAAAACCTGAATAATCGAAAAATTGAAGAACTGAAGAACTGAAAAATCGAAACTTTAGGAAGTGGAGAAATAGGAATATAAAAAAATAGATTAATTGAGAAATCCGAAAACTAAAAATTCAGAAACGTCAAAATTTGAAAAATAAAAAAATATTGAAGAACTAAAAAGTCGAAAAATCTAAAATTTAAAACATTGAAAAGTTAAAATATCCTAAAACTGAAAAATGGAGAAATCCAAACATCAAAAAAACAAAAATAAAAATAAAAATCTAAAATTGAATAATCGAAAAACTGAAAAATCAACGAATCGAGAAGTCGAGAATTTAAAAAATTGGACAATTGAAAAATCGGATAAATCAAAAATCGAAACATCGAAAAATCGAGAAACCGAAAAGCAAAAAATCGAAAAACCAGCAAATCGAAAAATCGAAACATTGTAAAATTCAAAAATTGAGACATCGAGAAATCGAAAAATCAAAAGACAAAAAAAATCGAGGAGTCGAAAAATCGAGAAGTCGAAAAATAAAAAAATTGAGAAACCGAAGTAGGCTAAAATCGAAAAATCGAAAACTTAAATATGGAAAAATTAATAAAGCGAGAGATTGAATAATCAAAACATCGAAACATCCGAATCTCAATAAATTGAAATCTCAAAAAATTTAAAAATTCGTAAATTTAAAAAATTAAAATATAGAACTGGAAACTCGAGAAACTGAAAAATCTAGAAATTTAAAAATTAAAATATGAAAAAGTTGAAAAATTGAGAAATTGAAATAAAAAACAAAAAACTGAAAATCCAAAAATAAAAAATAGAAAAATCTAGAAGTCGAAAAATGAAAGAATCGAAGTATTGAAAAATATCAAAACTGAAAGAAATATCCAAAAATTGAGAAATCGACACCAATAAAGCGAAGTCGAAAAATCGAAGAATTGAAGAACTGAAAAATCGAAACTTTGAGAAGTGGGAAAATCAAAAATAGATTAATTGAGAAATAAGAAAACTGAAAATTTAACGCAAAAATTTGAAAAATTCAAAAATTTAAATACTGAAGAACTGAAAAGTCAAAAAATCGAGAAATCGAAAAAACTAAAATTTAAAACAATGAATAATTAAAATATCGCAAAATTGAAGAATCGAGAGATCCAATTCAATTTGAAAAATTGAAAAATCGGGGCATTGAAAAATTGGAAAATCCAGAAATTGAAAAGCTCAAAAGAAAAAAATCGAAAAACCGAGAAATCCAAAAATCGAAACATCGAAAAATTCAAAAACTGAGACTTCGAGAAATCGAAAAATCGGAGGATCGAGAAATTGAGGAGTCGGAAGCCGAAAAGGAAAGTTAAAAATTGAAAAATTGAGAAATTGAACAATCAAAACAACGAAACATCTGAATTCGATAAATTGAGAAATTAAAAAATTGAATAATCGAAAAATTTTAAAAAAGAAAAACTGGAAAATCAAAAATTAAAATTCAAAAAATCGAAAAATTGAAAAATTGAAATATAGAAGAACTGAAAACTCGAGATATCGAAAAACCTAGAATTTTAAAAAATGGAATATTAAAACATCGAAAAGTTGAAAAATTGAGAAATCGAAGCATTAAACAGTCGCAGAATTGAAAAATCTAAAGTTTACAATAAATTGAAAATCCAAAAAGTAAAAAATCGAGAAATAAAAAAAAATCCATCAATTCAAAAATCAAAAAGTCGAAAAATTGAAATATTGAAAAATCTCAAAACTGAAAGAAATTTTCAAAAAATTGAAAAATGAAAAATCAAAAATTTAAAAATTCCAAAAATTGAAAAATTGAGATAGAAGAACTGAAAAGTCGAGAAATCGAAAAACCTACTATTTTAAAAACTGAAAAGTTTAAAAGACGAAAAATCGAAAAATCTAAAATTTAATACATTGAAAAATTAAAATATCGTAAAATTGAAAAATCTAAAATATAAAAATCGAAAAACTAAAAAATCAACAAATCGAGAAATCAAAACTCGAAAATTAAAAAAAATTGGAAAACTGAAAAATAGAATAATATAAAAATCTAAACACAGAAAAATTCGAAAACTGAGACATCGAGAAATCGAAAAATCAAAAGATGGAGAAATCGAGGAGTCGAAAAGTCGACAAGTCTCGAAAAATCGAAAAATTGAGAAACCGAAGTATGCCAAAATCGACAAATCGAAAAGTTAAAAGTGGATAAATTGATAAATCGGGATCTCAAAAATTGAAAAATCGAAAATTTAAAAATTGGCAAAATAAAAAAATCAAAATATAGAACAACTGAGAACTCGAGAAATCGAAAAATCTAGAATTTTAAAAAGAAAATTAAAAAAAAACGGAAAATCGAAAAATAAAAAAAATGGAAAATCGAAAAATAAAAAAAAATGGAAAATCAAAAATTTAAAAATTCCAAAAATTGAAAAATTGAGATAGAAGAACTAAAAAGTCGAGAAATCGAAAAACCTACTATTTTAAAAACTGAAAAGTTTAAAAGACGAAAAATTGAAACTTCAAACAGTAAAAAGTCGAAAAACTGAAAAATCACAAAATTGAACAAAATATTCAAAAATTAGGAAGTTAAAGAATTGAAAAATTGAGAAATCAAAAGATCAAAAAGCAAAGTCGAAAAAAGTAGATTAATTGAGAAATCGGAAATCTGAAAATTCTGAAACGTCAAAATTTGAAAAATTAAAAAATATTGAAGAACTGAAAAATCGAAAAATCTAAAATATAAAAATCGAAAAACTAAAAAATCAACAAATCGAGAAATCAAAACTCGAAAATTAAAAAAAATTGGAAAACTGAAAAATACAATAATATAAAAATCTAAACACAGAAAAATTCGAAAACTGAGACATCGAGAAATCGAAAAATCAAAAGATGGAGAAATCGAGGAGTCGAAAAGTCGAAAAATCGAAAAATTGAGAAACCGAAGTATGCCAAAATTGAAAAGTTAAAAGTGGAAAAATTGATAAATCGGGATCTCAAAAATTGAAAAATCGAAAATTTAAAAATTGGCAAAATAAAAAAATCAAAATATAGAACAACTGAGAACTCGAGAAATCGAAAAATCTAGAATTTTAAAAAGAAAATTAAAAAAAAACGGAAAATCGAAAAATAAAAAAAATGGAAAATCAAAAATTTAAAAATTCCAAAAATTGAAAAATTGAGATAGAAGAACTGAAAAGTCGAGAAATCGAAAACCTACTATTTTAAAAACTGAAAAGTTTAAAAGACGAAAAATTGAAACTTCAAACAGTAAAAAGTCGAAAAACTGAAAAATCACAAAATTGAACAAAATATTCAAAAATTAGGAAGTTAAAGAATTGAAAAATTGAGAAATCAAAAGATCAAAAAGCAAAGTCGAAAAAAGTAGATTAATTGAGAAATCGGAAATCGGAAAATTCTGAAACGTCAAAATTTGAAAAATTAAAAAATATTGAAGAACTGAAAAATCGAAAATTTAAAACATTGAAAAATTAAAATATCGTAAAATTGAAAAATGGAGAAATCTAAAAATCAAAAAATAAAAAAAATAAAAATTGAAAAATCTAAAATATAAAAATCGAAAAACTAAAAAATCAACAAATCGAGAAATCAAAACTCGAAAATTAAAAAAAATTGGAAAACTGAAAAATCGAATAATATCAAAATCTAAAGACAGAAAAATCGAAAAGTCGAAAAGTAAAAATCAAAAACCGACAAATCGAAACATCGAAAAATTCGAAAACTGAGACATCGAGAAATCGAAAAATCAAAAGATGGAAAAATCGAGGAGTCGAAAAGTCGACAAGTCGAAAAATCGAAAAATTGAGAAACCGAAATAGGCCAAAATCGACAAATGGAAAAATTAAAAATGGAAAAATTGATAAATCGGGATCTCAAAAATTGAAAAATCAATTATTAAACCACATTCTTTATATTTGGGTTCCTTAAATAATATCATTCTAAGTATGTCCTTTATTGTGAAGAATAGAACCAATCCACAAAATATCAATTATTTTTAGGAAATAAACGCGTAGAACCCGTACACCATTTTATGCCCTGCAAAGGATAATTATTTTGATTTTTTCACATACATAAAATTTAGAAGTTTATTTTATAGAATTATGAAATGAATCAAATTACGTTTTTTAATTTTTCTCGTTAATAATATGTTATGGGTTGGTGCCATTCTGCAAAAAACCGTCCAATTACACGTTTAATCATGCATTTTGTGGATTTTCAGAGCACACTAAAAATGAGGATAAGGTTGTCGTACACGGTGGACGGTAACCCGGTGCAGATCCAAACGGAGGTAAACAACTTCCCGACGGAGATTTGGGATTGACGGAAAGCTGGCTAATCTGTGAATTTTCTCATACTGTTACATATTTATAAATATACATACAAGTCTATTTTTTATTGTAGACTGTATAACTGAAATGTAATATTTTCTATAATTAGATTTAGTTATTTTTAGTGAGACACTGTAAATACTTGTTTTTAATATCGAGTACTTAATTATTTTAGGCACTTTTTTCATTAGAACTTTTCATAATTGAACCCCGATTGCAGTTTTATTGTTATTTTACATTAATATCTGATTAGATGTATACATTTTTATTTATACCCGTTTCATTGCGAGAATTATTTAATGCTTGTTTTGTTATACAATGTTATTTGCGTCCATAACTTTAGATCAATAAATTGTAAATACCTAAAACTATTCCCTTTCCAGTGGCTTGGCCAGCTCCAGAATCCTCGCCGACGCTTTGTACTTGAGGGCATTGGGCGAAATCGCCCACGGATCGAACTTATCCTCTTCGTGTTTCCTAGCTTCGCGCGCACTGAAGGACGGCTGCGCCAGTTTTTCGATGCGCGGAGTACACTTGGCTGTTAAAGCGGACCGCTTGATGGCCCAATGATCTATCAAATCTTCCGGACGTATTTTCAGTCGGTCAGGTAGTAAAGCTAGTTTTTGGACAATCGGCGTGATTTCGTACAACAAAGCTTTGGAACTGACGATCCCCAGCTCTTTAGGTTTCAATATGTGATACTCTTTGGGCAAAGCGAGATTGTCGATGAAGGGCGCCAAATCTTCGAGCGCTTTTTTCTTTCTAGGTATCTCAGGTGGCTTCGGCGGTTTCTTGGCAGTGGCAATTTTCACCAGCCATTCCGACCTAATATTTTGGACTTTTTCTAGATCTTTACCTTTGGGTTTCTTCGCCTGTATTTTGGCTTTTTTGCGCCTGAAAGAACAAATCAGTGACTAATCAGACTAAAACGGAGTCATACTCCAGTCGCTTGACACGCCTATCTCTCAACTTCTTGGTGTAGAAGTTGTAGATGGAGTCCCAGGTTCTGTCAATGAGTCTGTTCATTCGTTTCACATACTCTGGACCTTTAACGTCTTTGAACATGGTTTTGTTCGTGTGGAGAACCCTGGAACAAATCGTGACTAAGTTTGTTGTGAAAGTGCGAAAAATACCGGAGCGGCGGTCTGTAAATTTGGTCACTGAAGAATTCCGTGATTGGGTCTAAAGGTCCGAATTCTTTGTAGACTCGGCGCGGAGGCGGCTGATACTTCTTGTTCGGGGGCGGTTTGGGTCTGGCCAACATGTTGATTCGCCATGGAAATCGAAATTTTAGTTTCCCGCGTTTTTTCTCTTCTTTCTGAAGATTTGGTTCGGAGAATGAGGTAGGGTGAATCAATATATCTAATTTACAGGCGAGCATGGTGAAAAGTTGGTGATGAAGTTGGGATGTGGGTGAGATGAAAGTAGAAAACGGACTGATTTTTGATTTATGGCGCCTATCTAGAGTTTTATGAATGGCGAATCAGTAGTGCCAACTAGGATGCACAGCCTACTGTGACTGAAGATGTTTCGGTTGCTTAATATAATAAATTGTATCCACCTACTAAAAGTGATTACTTTTTAATATTGTATCATTGTTTAAGTATATTATAGTTGGACAACCTATACGGAGAATCACTTTTCCATGTACAAAAGAATGAACATATATTTTACATAGATAAAATAAAACCAAAATATAGAACGCAAAGTCCCTAAGAATGTTTTTTGCGCACCGTTACCACGCCGGAAATATTCCGAAAATTGAAAAATTAAAATATAGAAGAACTGAAAACTCAAAAACTCGAAAAACTAATAATTTAAAAATTCAAAAGTTAAAATTGAGAAATCGAGAAACTGAAAAATCACAAAATTGAACGAAATATCCAAAAATTAGGAAATTAAACAATTGAGAAACAGAAAAGTCAAAAAGGGAGAGTCAAAAAATCGCAAACTTGAAAAATTGAAAAATCAAAAACCTGAATAATCGAAAAATTGAAGAACTGAAGAACTGAAAATCGAGACACCGAAAAATCTAGAAATTTAAAAATTAAAATATGGAAAAGTTGAAAAATTGAGAAATTGAAATATAAAACAATCGAAAAATTGAAGAACTGAAAAATCGAAACTTTGAGAAGAGGGAAAATCAAAAGATAGATTAATTGAGAAATTAGAAAACTCAAAATTTAGCGTCAAAAATTTTTCGTTGAAAAATTTAAATACTGAAGAACTGAGAAGTCAAAAAATCGAGAAATCGAAAAATCTAAGATTTAAAACATTGAACAATTAAAATAACGCAATATTGAAGAATCGAGAAATCCAATTCAATTTAAAAAATTGAAAAATTGAAAAATCGGAACATTAAAAATTGGAAAATCTAGAAATTGAGTTCAGTTTTAATACTGAAGGAATAGATCGCTACAAACTCTGAAATCTTTGAAATCCTTATATCCTCTAGAATCTTTGGAACTTCAAAGGTTTCAGATTTTTTGTAATCCACAATTTTCGAAATATTCAGAATATTTAGAATCTATAGAACTCCGGATTATCACGAATTTTTGCAATTTCTGAAATCTCTGGAATTTTTGGGATCTTTATAACTCTCAATCTTGCAAATACTGGAAATTTTAAATATCTTCGTTCAAAATTTTCAAAATCTAAAATCTTCACTCAGAATCTCCAGAGAATCTTCAGAATCTCTGGAATCTTTGGAATTTCTGGAATATCTAGAGCCTCGAAATAGATATGGATTTTTTGAAATTTCGGGATTCTCTAAAATCTTTATAATCTTTGGATCTTGGGAACCTTCAAAATCTTCAACTTTTTTTTTGGAATCTTCAGAATCTTTAGAATCTTTCGAAACTTTTGAATTCCTAGAAACTCTGAAAGCTTTGAAATCTTTATATTCTTCCGAATCTTCGGAACCTAGAAGTTTTCAGATTCTTTGGATTCATCAGCCTTCGAAATATTCAGAATCTTTAGAATATTGAAATCTTTAGAATCTCTAAAATTCTAGAATATTGTAAATTTGGAATTTCTGGAATCTCTAGGAACTCGGAATATTCGGATCTTTTTAAATTTCTGGAGTGTCTGGTGAAATCTTTATAATTTTCAATCTTACAAATACTTTTTGAAATCCTTTGAAATACTCAGTACTTTCAAAATATTCAGAATTTTCAGTATTTTTGTTCAAAATTTTCAGAATGTACCATCTTCATCCAGAATCTTCATAATCTCCAAAATCTTCAGTCTTTCAAATTTTTAGAATGTCGGGAATCTTTAGTGCCTTGAAATAACCGGAATCTTTGGAATTTCTTTAATATTTAGAGTCTTGAAATAAGTAGATATGGAATTTTTCAAATTTTTGGATTCTCTGAAATCTTTGTAAAGTTTAAACTCTTAGGAACCTTCAAAGTCTTCAACTTTATTGGAATCTTCAGCCTTGAAATACTCAGAATCTTCAGAATATTTGGGATCTTCAAAATCTTCAGAAACTTTCGAATTTTTAGATTCTCTGAAGGAATAGATTAATTAGGAAATCAGAAAACCCAAATTTATCGTCAAAATTTTTTCATTGAAAAATTTAAATACTGAAGAACTGAGAAGTCAAAAAATCGAGAAATCGAAAAATCTAAGATTTAAAACATTGAGCAATTAAAATATCGCAAAATTGAAGAATCGAGAAATCCAATTCAATTTAAAAAATTGAAAAATTGAAAAATCGGAACATTAAAAATTGGAAAATCCAGAAATTGAGAAGCTCAAAAGAAAAAATCGAGAAACCGAGAAATCCAAAAATCGAAACATCGAAAAATAAAAAAACTGAGACATCGAGAAATCGAAAAATCGAAGGATCGAGAAATTGAGGAGTCGTAAGTCGAAAAGGAAAGTTAAAAATTGAAAAATTTAATGTATAAAAAACGAAAAACTGAAAACCCAAAAATAAACAATCGAAAAATCTAGAGGTCGAAAAATCAAAGAATCGAAGTATTGAAAAACATCAAAATTGAAAGAAATATCCAAAAATTGAGGAATCGAAAAACCAATAAAGCGAAGTCGAAAAATTGAAGAATTGAAGAACTGAAAAGTCGAAACTTTGAGAAGAGGGAAAATCAAAAATAGATTAATTGAGGAATCAGAAAACTGAAAATTTAACGTCAAAATTTTTTCATTGAAAAATTTAAATACTGAAGAACTGAGAAGTCAAAAAATCGAGAAATCGAAAAATCTAAGATTTAAAACATTGAACAATTAAAATATCGCAAAATTGAAGAATCAAGAAATCCAATTCAATTTAAAACATTGAAAAATTGAAAAATCGGAACATTAAAAATTGGAAAATCCAGAAATTGAGTTCAGTTTTAACACTGAAGGAATAGATCGCTACAACCTCTGAAATCTTTGAAATCCTTATATCCTCTAGGATCTTTGGAACTTCAAAGGTTTCAGATTTTTTGTAATCCACAATTTTCGAAATATTCAGAATATTTAGAATCTATAGAACTCCGGAATATCACGAATTTTTGCAATTTCTGAAATCTTTGGAATTTTTGTGATCTTTATAACTTTCAATCTTGCAAATACTGGAAATTTTAAATATCTTCGTTCAAAATTTTCAAAATCTAAAATCTTCACTCAGAATCTTCAGAATCTCCAGAGAATCTTCAGAATCTTTCGAATTTTTAGAATCTCTGGAATCTTTGGAATTTCTGGAATATCTAGAGCCTCGAAATAGATATGGATTTTTTGAAATTTCGGAATTCTCTAAAATCTTTATAATCTTTGGATCTTGGGAACCTTCAAAATCTTTAGAATCTTTCGAAACTTTCGAATTCCTAGAAACTCTGAAAACTTTGAAATCTTTATATTCTTCTGAATCTTCGGAACCTAGAAGTTTTCAGATTCTTTGGATTCATCAGCCTTCGAAATATTCAGAATCTTTAGAATATTTAAATCTTCAGAATCTGTAAAATTCTAGAATATTCGAAATTTGGAATTTCTGGAATCTCTAGGAACTCGGAATATTCGGATTCTTTTAAATTTCTGGAGTGTCTGGTGAAATCTTTATAATTTTCAATCTTACAAATACTTTTTGAAATCCTTTGAAATACTCAGTACTTTCAAAATATTCAGAATTTTCAGTATTTTTGTTCAAAATCTTCAGAATGTACCATCTTCATTCAGAATCTTCATAATCTCCAAAATCTTCAGTCTTTCAAATTTTTAGAATCTCGGGAATCTTTAGTGCCTTGAAATAACCGGAATCTTTGGAATTTCTTTAATATTTAGAGTCTTGAAATAAGTAGATATGGAATTTTTCAAATGTTTGGATTCTCTGAAATCTTTGTAAAGTTTAAACTCTTAGGAACATTCAAAGTCTTCAACTTTATTGGAATCTTCAGCCTTGAAATACTCAGAATCTTCAGAATATTTGGGATCTTCAAAATCTTCAGAAAATTTCGAATTTTTAGATTCTCTGAAGGAATAGATTAATTAGGAAATCAGAAAACTGAAAATTTAACGTCAACATTTTTTCACTGAAAAATTTAAATACTGAAGGACTGAGAAGTCAAAAAATCGAGAAATCGAAAAATCTAAGATTTAAAACATTGAACAATTAAAATATCGCAAAATTGAAGAATCGAGAAATCCAATTCAATTTAAAAAATTGAAAAATTGAAAAATCGGAACATTAAAAATTAGAAAATCCAGAAATTGAGAAGCTCAAAAGAAAAAAATCGAGACACCGAGAAATCCAAAAATCGATACATCGAAAAATTAAAAAACTGAGACATCGAGAAATCGAAAAATCGAAGGATCGAGAAATTGAGGAGTCGTAAGTCGAAAAGGAAAGTTAAAAATTGAAAAATTTAATGTATAAAAAACGAAAAACTGAAAACCCAAAAATAAAAAATCGAAAAATCTAGGGGTCGAAAAATCAAAGAATCGAAGTATTGAAAAATATCAAAACTGAAAGAAATATCCAACAATTGAGAAATCGAAAAACCAATAAAGCGAAGTCGAAAAATTGAAGAATTGAAGAACTGAAAAACCGAAACTTTGAGAAGAGGGAAAATCAAAAATAGATTAATTGAGAAATCAGAAAACTCAAAATTTAGCGTCAAAATTTTTTCGTTGAAAAATTTAAATACTGAAGAACTGAGAAGTCAAAAAATCGAGAAATCGAAAAATCTAAGATTTAAAACATTGAACAATTAAAATATCGCAAAATTGAAAAATCGAGAAATCCAATTCAATTTAAAAAATTGAAAAATTGAAAAATCGAAACATTAAAAATTGGAAAATCCAGAAATTGAGTTCAGTTTTAACACTGAAGGAATAGATCGCTACAACCTCTGAAATCTTTGAAATCCTTATATCCTCTAGAATCTTTGGAACTTCAAAGGTTTCAGATTTTTTGTAATCCACAATTTTCGAAATATTCAGAATATTTA